AAGTTTTTAAATTATGCTGCATAATTTTCTTATATGAAGCATTTGTTGCTTTTTCAATAACCTTCAAACATGGTCTTAAAATGAATTGAATTAAATCAGTGTCCAATCAAATAACTTGATTCGCAACTCACTTTGGTATTAACAAAACAGCTATAAAAAAAAATAATAATAAATAAATAAAAGTTAGGTGCTCGACCTAATTGCAACTGGTGGTGGGGGAGAATTCAATTTTTATGTCTTATAAACAACGTGACGGTAATGTGGGTAAAATAATTTTCCATTTCGAAACGATGAGAAGTGGTGCGGTGAAAATCAGATCTCAGTGAAGTAGTCATAAATTAATTCCGGGGGCATCTTTTGGAAAAGCTTAAGTGGCAATTTTCTTCAAGTGCCCACTGCCCTTTGTGCTTGAAATTAATATGTCATTATGATGGAAGGCCAACCAGACTATTGTTGTTAGAAAATTTCGAGCTTAAAATTTACAGAAACCTCCTGGATACAGCCCTAGATTACAATCAATAATTAAATATAAAATATACATTTTCATAAGTTCAACATAAATTGGTTTAAAATGTGATTCACTAGTATTCTCTTAAGTACATATTTATCATAAGCGTAAAAAATATTAAAAATCACTTTATTTTTATCATTTGACAATGTAACTTAACAATGAATAGCATTCAAACAAACTTTTTAATTTAAAAAAAAGTCAACTTCTCATGGCAGTAGCATAAATATGGCATCTTGCTGTTTATTTTTTGTATTTATTATTTGTAATACTTATTTACATATGTACACACAGGCCAGAGGAGGAGCTGCAAGGCTTTATCATTAAGGCCCTGAACAGGGCATACTTGAGTTTACAAAAACAAATCCATCATAGAATGGATCCAAATAAAACAAAAGGAGAAGTGGTTAAACTCTAGGAGCGCTAGTCACAGCAAACTTATGCTAAAACAGCCCTCACCAAGACCAGCAAACTCTCTGCTGCAGTTGGAGAGGGCCAGACTCAGTGACAGAGTGATAGGATTATTAACCAGTCACTGGCATCTGAGAAAACATTACATAACATGGGCATATGATCCCATTTGCAAGAGGAAAAAACAGCCGCCCATATCATTTTCGAATGCTAAGCAAGAGCTCAATGGAGACAAAACGTAGCATTAAAAAAAAATTATAGCAGTGACAGTCAATGACCTAATACTTCTTAGGATACTTTTTCTCTTTGGGAGAAAGGTGGCCCCAGGTTTCAAGAAGGGGCCCTAATAGGTACACAAATGGTTTGAAGATGGAACAGGAAGTAGGTGTAGAGATAAAATGGCCAAAGTGCAACCTAATAAAGACCCTTGGTCAAACCCCCAACAATTTTCCAAACTGAAGTCCATGAAATGCAACTCTTTTTACAGGAGTTAATAAAGAAATGTGCTATAAAGACACTACAAAAACTCCAAACTTGTTTGGTAGTGTCTAAATTCTCTAAAGGCTCCAGGAAAACAAAACATGATTAATAAAGTGAGTTCCCAGACATGAAGGCAGAGAAGGCTGACCAACTAGTCAAAAAAGGGGCAACCCTCTCACCTGCGGAATCAGAACCACAACTAAGTTGGAAGTGGAAAAAGTATTGAGAAAGGAAAATTCAAACACTGGATCAACACTGCCTGGTATGAGGCAACACAAGAGATATAAATCTCTCAAAAAGGAAGGCGAAGGAACTCCCCTCTTAGCAGGCAGTATTAGAGGAAAATATAGGCCTCTACACTGGTCACTGCCCTCTTAACGACTAAGTCAGGAGGAACCAAAGGCAACAGCACACAGCTTTATGAGTGTGAAACATTAGCCCAGTTACAGTAAAGCCATTTCTCTCCAAACGAGGTCCATAAGGAGGCAGAAAGGAAAGTGTTTAGTCATAAGAAAAAGCACAATTTCCAAGGTTTGGCTATAATTTGTAACAACACTATCAGGAAGCCCCATAAAAGAAATTGCAGCTTTGGATACTATATCAACTATACACAAGTTTATTGTGCAAGAAATGGCAAAGTGAATACGAGATAACAACCCAAAACAAAGGTTTATGGTTTTCCATCACCCAACCAACCCCAGTTTTCAAATGGAAAAAGAAGAAATTCTTCACTACTATATTTAGACTGAGATTTGTTGACTGCTCTCTGAGCATGTTATGCCCAAGACTGCAGAATTGGGATGGACTTTTCCAAGGGTATGTCGTACCATGTAAGGTTTTTATCTACCGCCATCAGGAGCAGTCCGTTGTAACAAAAGGGAATAGCACGACCCAGTTTTAAGCGAGAAGCCCGGATTCCTACCTAGCTGGTAACATTTGTTTTTATTTTATGATAATTAACTTTTGTACTAGTTTTCTAATTTGTCCACTCATCAAATAAATTCAAAATTATTTCACTTCTAGACAATAACTGATTTTTGTTCTTTTTTCAATAAATAACTTTCTGGCAATGTTGAATAATTCATTTGTGAATAATCAAAGAAGCGTTATTCTCTCTGGAACTTATAATGACTTCATGATATAGAAAGTGTCAAAATGCTAAGATATGCTAAGGAGTTTCTAACATACAAAACATTTTGTGATATAGAATTGTGTAGCGTCTTACAATCAAAATCTTTCTTCAATGAAGTGACAATTCAGTTTTCTTTCTGAAATTTTATTGATCGCCCAAGTTATTACACATAACAAATATTAATACAACTTTTTTTGAAATTGAGTTTTTTATGTTCATTTATAAAATCATAAGTTGTATGAAAATTTCTGTGGGTCATTGTTAATATTTAATATTTCAATATGTATATTTATAGTAAAAATGTAATCAGTTTAATAACAATGACATGCTAACAAATTCAAAAATTATTTGGTAAGGTTAAGAACTAATGTTATTTATAATTCTTTTATATTATTATATTCTATTAAATTATGTTCTTACTTTACATATTGTTTAATACTTCAGTAATTTTTTCCTTTTTCTTATTTTGCTTTTGCATTGTTATATTTTTATATTATATCTTTCTACATTTAAAATTTTTTAAATTGGATGAATTCTTAAAACATTAACTGCTCAAAAATGAATAGGAATATTGCCAATTTTGTAGTATTTTCTTTCTCTAGCATTTTTATTTTCTTTTTATTATAAATTGTATTAAAATTTATTAGAAATTATGTTTTTTACTGAAGGAAAATTTAATTAAGGGATTTTGAAAAATAACAAAATAAAAGATTTTAATTCAATAATTTTGTTTACTGGACACAATAATTTTTTAAAAGAATTAAAACTGTGTATAATGCCCTCTGTTAGCTAAAACCTCTGTGCATGGCATACTGTTAATAAGGTTGTCACTATTTTCATGAGGAATTTCACTCCATAGATGTTGCAACACTGCACTCCGTTAGTCCAGGTGAACTGGCTGCGGATGGTGGTTGAAAGTCTTCTCTGCACCGCATCCCACATGTGCTCAATGGGATTGAGGTTCAGAGACGATGGGAGAAGGGGTAGATGAGAAATTCCTAGGTTTTCTAAACATCAATGAACAACTAGCCTCTATGAGGTCTGACATTCATCCAGAAATAGAAAATCTCTGCCTATGAGATCTCTGGTTGGAGGAATGCATTCCTCAATAATTTCTTGTACATAACGTACTGCGGTGATGTTGCCTTCAACAATATGGACTCCAGTTTGTCCTTCAGTGTAAATCCCGGCCTGGACCATTACAACGCCTTCAACAAACTATACTGAAGGGAGCACGAACTGGGGCATTGTATGCATCCCCTGTTCTCGATACTCTTTGGTGCCAGCTATCACTTTACAGACAGAAATGCGACTCGTCGTAAACATAACGGCATTCCAATTGCTCGTCGCACCATATTCTTCTGAGTTGCTAGTAGCGGGCTTTTGCAGCAGGTCGACTCAAAGGGGCATACAATGTGAGGCCAACTTCCCACCAATGATTACAAATCATTTGTGTTGATAGAGGCCTTGCCAAAACATTTTGTACTGCATTTAGTATCTGGCAGGCATTATGGAAAGGGTTCTGTCTTGTAGCAACAACAATATATCTATCCTCCCTTAGCGTCATAATACACTGAGATCCATTACCAGGCCTCCTATTGGCACTTCTACTCTCTCAGAATCGGCAATAGCCCGGAAGACCACACTCTAAGAAACACCAACTACCTCTGGGACATCCACTTGCTGGTCGATGACTTCATTTTCACAATAATATTGCAAATTTCTGGTTAAAGATGATGTCTTTCCATGGTTAAAGAGAATACAAATTGATTAACATAGAGAAAAGACGAGAAAAATGTGTTTACAAAATGAGTAATCTTCATGTTTATTATTCTTGAGTGAATCCATTATTAAAAATCTTATTAAATCCATTATTAAATTTGTTTGTTTCTGGTTGGTATTTTCTATTTTGTTTTATCCAACTAACGAGAATATATCGGTAAATTTAATCAAAATTTATAGAATATTAAATTAGAAATATCCCTATTCATTTTTTAGCAGTTTATATATAGATTCAAACACAACTAAAAAATTTTAGGAGGGTATTTCAACTGTATGAACCCTTGTGGTGCTGGTGTTTTTGAAAATACATTGATCATGAATGTGAACCTGGGACCTTTACCTGACAGTGATGAGCGCCGTGTCAACGCGTTGCGGCCACCGACGCCCCAATAATATTTTCTATAATGCATAATTTATGCTAATAAACAGAGTTTTAGTTGTTTTCACTACTTCCCGCAATGATTTAAACAATTTTTAATTGATTGTGAGAAACTTGATAGATCAAAACAGGGAAGACATTACGAGTGAAGAGCAGAATAACGGAAACGACTAAAAAAAAGATAGAAATTGAGAAGTGTTGTTCTTGCTTAAATTTGGCGCCATAAAATCGAACGCAACTGCCTGAAAGCTCAGCTGATTTGTTATCGCGAGAAAGGTTTTTCTTTAAATAAAAGAAATAAACCATGTCCGGAGGTTAATAAAAAATTAATATTTCTTAAAATTGATGATATTTGTTTTATTTGTTGATATGAAATAGGTCTGTTGTCGTTAGTCCGACTCGGGACCATCGAGGGAGGCGCGATCATGTTGTTGTGCCCATTTTTGCCTCCATTCCAATTTCTAAAAGTACGGGTTATTTATCTGTGTGTCGTCGTATATGTGAGTTAATTCCGGTCGAAATAATTAATCCGGCGGGTTTTTCATAAGGAAATCGTTGAACGGGCCTGCCACGCCTCGGGGACGTCTCGGGACAAGAGTTGAAACGTCGATCTGCTAACAAGTGGAGATGTACAGTTAGGGCCATAGCCTAATTACTCCCCTTCGCTCATTCCAAATGCACGACAGTTTCCAAGAGTGAAAAGCCCCTTTCGCACCCGTGTCGGGCGCCGTTCGGGAAGATGCCGCTCCTCCACAAAAAGACATTCGAGCCGATCGAGTTCCCGGACGACCTGAAGGAATCCGAGGAAGTCTTCTTTTGCCGGACGACTGGTGAAATCTTCAGAGACTATGAGTGAGTTCATTTTCCATTTCGATATCGGTCGGTTTTGCCTCGCTGCCCCACGGCCTCTGTCCGCCCACCATTTTACACACTTTTTAACACTATTTCGTCCGTTTTTTCACTTTTCCCCCTTTGTGCCCCGTTCCGAAAACTCGGCCTCAGGATAAAAACGCAAAATCGATAATTTGCACCCCGCTTTAGCCGCGACTTGGCTTTTACTCCATAGCATCTAACGTCTCACGACGTTTTCCACTCCTCACGACTTTTTTCCCATCTAGGATGAAGTTGTAAACAAAACATGTTTTTTCCTCTTATAAATCCTTGTGTAAACATTTCACCTGCGATCACGATTCTCAACGTGTTACAACGCATTTCCTCACATTTTCGAGCCGCCTCCTTTCTCTAGCACCGTCCATTTCTTAATGACAACCGCCCTCGGCTTTTTACCATATTGTCTCATTTCCTCGACTTTCTTCGTTAATTTGCCCGGTTTTTTCTTTCTTTTTTTTTTTCCTTTGCCATGTTTTTGAAGGCCGTCACCTGGACTCCTTGGCCTCGCGAATTTCATCTCTTTCCCTGCTTTCGTTCACATATTGCGGACGTTCAGACCTTGGGAGAGGCGAATTTGCCCAATTTTATCCATTTATTCCATTAAATTTAAAAGATGTGAACAACCAAAATCTTGCTGAAGTTAAGGTGCAGCATGCTGCCTTATGTTGTTACATGAAATCTTCATCAAAGAAAGCAGCTATGGTGACATTAATATGCCCTTGAAAATGCGCTTAGGTGGTTGACATGACCACAAAAAAAACTAAAGTTAGCCGTTGTGAACCAGTATTTTCAGCCCTTGCAAAATTAAATTTTCCTTGAGGTATAAATGATGTAGGACAACAAAAAATTAATATACTGTAATAGTCATCAAATCTTCAATCACCCAAAAAGCAGCTATGGTGGCATTTAAGTGCCATTGAAAGTGCAACAAGGTGGTCGAAATGTTTGGAAATTTTCAGTTAGCCATCTGAGAATTTTATCGCTTTCCGTGCTTCATTCTCGTGGTGCGGATGTTCAAATCTTGGAAGAGGTGAATTTGCTCAATTTTCATTCTTTTATCGTGTCAACAACCAAAATCTTGCAGAAGTTAAGCAGCAACATGCTGCCTTATGTTGTTATCATATAACATCTTCATCAAAGAAATTATTCATCATTAATGTGCACTTGAAAGTGCGCCAAGGTTGTTGACATGACCACAAAGAAAAAAACTTCAGTTAGCCAGTTGTGAACCAGTATTTTCCAGCCCTTGCAAAATTAAATTTTCCTTGAGGTATAAATGATGTAGGACAACAACAAAAAATTAATAATCGGTAATAGTCATAAAATCTTCAATCACCAAAAACAGCTATGGTGGCATTTAAGTGCCATTGAAAGTGCAACAAGGTGGTTGAAATGTTCGGAAATTTTCAGTTAGCCATCTGAGAATTTTATCGCTTTCCGTGCTTAATTCTCGTGGTGCGGATGTTCAAATCTTGGAAGAGGTGAATTTGCTCAATTTTCATTCTTTTATCGTGTCAACAACCAAAATCTTGCAGAAGTTAAGCAGCAACATGCTGCCTTATGTTGTTATCATATAACATCTTCATCAAAGAAATTATTCATCATTAATATGCACTTGAAAGTGTGCCAAGGTGGTTGACATGACCACAAAAAAATCTTTAGTTAGCCAGTATTGTCAGGCCTTGCAAAATTAAATCTTTCTTGAGGTGGTAATCAGTAGTCAACAGATTTAAGGCAAAAAATAAAATAATCAGTAATATAATAATGCAAAATGGTTTGAATCAAATCACAGAAAGGAGGGTGAGAAACAAACTAAAATTATATGCAATTCAAAAAGTACTTAATTGACAAAATTAGTGCATTAAACTTTGTGGAAAGCTTGCAATAACTTAATAGTATTAAAATATTACTTTTTTAAGAAGGAAGAGAAATTCAGTGTTGTCTAATGAGATTTTTGTCAAATTCAGTATAGAAAATTTGTAGAATTCAGTATGTAAATCAGTATATATTTACAGATACTGTAATGAGAAAAAGCCCATGAAAGTGGCACAAGGTGGTTGAAATGGTCACATAAAATCTTCAGTTGGGTGATTGTCCGGATCACACATTAAATTTTCCATAAGTAAAATAGCACTTTAAAATAGCTAATAGCTGACATTAATAACAGCAGTATCTCAAGTGAGTCTTAAAATTTTAAACCTTCATATTATGAATCATATTTATTTTTATCATATTCATATTTTCATTTCAACCAATACCTTACATAAAGATCAATTAATTGAGAGAAGTTATTTGGTCAATTGGACCACGAAATATAATGGACTTCATATTATGTTTTATTCTTAAAATAGCTCAAAACAATTCTTGCCCACCTGCTCAACAATTGTACGTAATAAAAAAATGAACCAACTATTTTACTGATGATACCACAGTGCTGAAACAATTAAAATAAAGAGGTGATTGAAAGGGGGATAAAAAATTATTGGTGATGGTTAATTTTCATTCATCTACCTTAATGTATTTAACCTAGGCCCAAAATTGATGGGATCCATCATGATTTTGATACGTATTTAACTTGTAAGATAAAACTGACTATAACACAATGCTAAAAATTACCTTTAAAATTTGTTACAGTGAATTTTGTGAAAGAATAATTCTTTGTAATTCATTGGTATGGTCATGTTCACTAACGGGCCGGGCCCTCCTGACCTACCAAGAAGCAAAGGCCAGTGAAGAGAAGATAAAAAAACTCCTCAAACGATTTCCAATGGAAGTAAGTGTACGAAAGTTGACGTAAGTATAAAGTTTCAGTTGTTTCACACTTTAATTCATTCAACAGTTGAGGATACCAGTGCTGTACTTGGCATCTATTTGTGAAAGAAGATCTCTTATAGAACTTGCTGAGGAGGTTTTCAATTATGTCAAGGATAGATATTTCATCGGAGAGACGGTTCAAGTCAACATTCCTGGTGCGGGCAATGTGTAAGTATTTTTATTTCTAAATATATATTTTTAATAAGTTAATTAAATATTTATTGTTATAGAGATTGCCATGTTCTGGCAGTTGTGCCTCCCACAACCGAAGAACTTGCTGCACTTAGTCGGAAATCACAGTAAGTCATTAATCTCAACATATTTGGTTTCCTTTTATTTTTTTAATTTTGTTATAGCAGCAATGATCGACATTACCCTCCAGCTAAAGCGTACAAATATGAGGTAGAAAGGCATGATAATGGAAAGGAAATTATTGCCACACAGAATCAGATAACAAGACCGAAATCATCTTATAATAAGGACAAAAATCGCCTTTACATCAAACAGTTTGTTCATCTCGAAAACAATTTTTGGAAATTAAAAGTAAATAAATACAAATTACATTTATTTCAATTTTTTTAATAATTATTAATCAATGGAACTTACTTATTCAGGAATCATCAAATGCTAAATACGGTATTAATAAAGTTAAATTTGACCAAATATTCTGTGGCGAGCCACCAGATATGAATCCGAGGGAAAGTCTAAAACGGAAGTATAGTGATAGACCGAAGAAACAAGAGACATTAAATGCATATTTCAAGCTTTCCGAAAAGAAATATTCAATGTTGTCTAGGAAAAATCCTAAAAAAGGAGAATCTATAAATGATTTGAAGAAAGTCCGAAAGAAGCGTCTCACAAAGAAGTTGGAAGGCGGAATATTGTATGTGATTTAAAAATGAATCCTATTATATTTTGATTTTATTACTGATTTTTATTTAATTTATATAGAGCAAAGAACAGTGTTGAAATTAGGCAGAAAAGACGGTTGGAAATGAAAGAGAAAACGAAAAAGTACGCTGAATTTGTTAAGGAATGGAATATGAAGAGGGAGGACTTAGAATGTGAGGATCTTAAGGTGAGAATATCTGCAAATATGATTAAATACCGACATCAAAATATTATTTTAATATTATTCTGTTATAAAGGACATGCCAAGTGCAATCCCAATTGAAGGGAAAATCCCCAATGAACATTTCGGCTCTGTAATTATGATTATGGAGTTTCTACAATCTTTTCGTAAAATCATTGCTTTGAAAGACTTTTTCCCAAACGGCGTCACTCTTGAATTGATGGAAAGAGCCTTACTGGAAAAAGAAGTTGCCGGTAAATAATATTGTCTGGTTTGCCTCGGAAAAACAAAATTAATTGTATTTTTATTTATTTAAGGCCCACTTTGCGACATCATTCAACTACTGCTTAGTGCAATTTTTGATTTGAGGGATCAGGAAGAAGAAACTAAAGATGCTGATGTTAAATTAACACGTGAGTACAAATACATGGTTGTATTTAATGAAATTTATACTGTTAACTTCAATATTCATTTTTATCGGGTGTATGCATAAGTATGTCGGTTTTCTGTAAAAAAGAAAAACTTTCCAAATATATATTTATTTTATTGTTAATGCAAAACAAAATTTCTTTCATTTTCTATATCATACTGCCAACATTCTGATAGCAGAAATATCCTCTTTTTGTAAATGTCTGATGACTTAGATAGAAAGAAAACTGTAAGTCCAATTTTCAGAGAGCGTTTTCATACAAAAATTTCCTACCTTTTAGATAGTTATTTAGGGAGCAGAACAAGCAAAAATCAGCAGAAGGGGCAAGGTCTGGTGAGTATAGAGAGTTGGACAACTGTTTCCAACGCATAACTCCGCGATTTTACTCCGAGTGCAAGTTGTGCGCCAGGCCTGGGATTGTCATGTTGATGTTTTTTTTTTTTTCTTCTTCTTCTTCTCCCCAAACCCCTTTTTTTCTCTAACTGCGCATAGTATACCTCTCTTCCATAAGGGGTTGGTTGGTAACAGTTCCCAATAAATTATTCGTTGAATAACCCACTAAACAGACAGTAGGACCCAGCAAGAGTGTATTCCTGCTCTTGAGGCCGACAGTAGCATTTTATTCTTGCAAACATTCTTCGGCATTTAACATTTTTGTAAAGGTCCACTTCTCATCCCCAGTATATCCGATTTATTCCTGTTCAGGTGTGAAACACCATATGTGGTCTTGTTCCTGAGGGATAATTCATGGGTTCCCCATGTAAACGAGTTTAACAGCGTAACCCAGAGATCAGATTCTTCTTTCTATTGTTGTGCAATGTACCTGAAACCTCTCTGATAACTCGGCTACAGTCGATTTCTTCTCATCCTCCAATGCCACTAATCATTAATACATCATCACTTTTAAGCTCGCTAGGCATTCCACCATGAGGTTGGTCTTTTGATTCGCCTCTCTCCATTATGAAAATGTCTATTGACTTACAAGTTCAGTTGTTATGTTATCACCATAAATTTTGACAGGCATCCATTTCTCTTTCCCGGAGATTGAAATCGTATACAAGCAATGCCTCAAATGAATTTTATCTGCTTCCATGTAATAATTGCAGTTTATTTTAGCCTGACTTTTAAGTCCAACTACCCCTTCTTTAACAATCTCTTTCAATAGGTCTTTTTGCACCCTAGATATAATGGTGCTAGCTAGCAATAAAGGATCGCTTTTATAAGGGCAAAAGTCGAAATTTGAAAAATCAAAAACTTATGCACATACCCAATAATTTGTAATTATTGTATTAAAACACACCGAAAATAAATATGCAAAGTTAACTGTTGTATCATTTTTTCAGATGGACTTAGTTTTTCCCGAGGGAATAGTGAGACAATGAAAATTCTTAAAATGGCAACTATGACTGATAATTGGATTAAGAGGTATCATGGTCAGTATCTAACCCAGTTGACACTCAACACTTCCACATTGTCTGAAGTTCTAAGGCTCCATTTGTTAACTTCGGGTTCAAAGCCACAAAAAAGTAAAACAGCAAAATGGAGGTAATTATCGCGTGCGTGTGTTCTGGTTGTTTATATAAATTCAATTAAGTTCACATAATTTTCTTTTTTTTTCAGGTATCAGTCCCGTGGTGGTTATATGAACAACGATGATCCAGGTGTTATATTGAAACTCACCGAGCCAATGATTATTAAGAAACTTGGAGACACAAGTGTTGGTGATCTGAATATAAGTAAGTTGTTTTTTTTTTTTAATTTCTCTTTCACACACACATGCTTTCATTGATAATTTTGTATTTTAGGTGAGAAACTTACAATTATTGAGTGCTTGATTAACCAAGTGTTGACATATGCTTCAGCGAGGGAAATAATCGAAGAAGGTTGTGAAAAGGCAAGACAGGCTAAAATTGAAATACGTTTGAAGAGTGCTAAGCAAGCAAAGATTGACAAAGCGGAAGCCATTAAGTATGTTTCACAATTTGCTAATTACTGCTTAAATTATTAATTGAACTGTTAAAAAATTAGAATCTTAGAAGTCCTATGGCTGGTTTATTCGTGAATTTGATGTACTTTCCCCCCCCCATTTACGGTATGTTTCTCAAAAATTTTATTACATATACATGCAATTTGCACACCGTTACATCCACTCCGTCTTCACTGTTGACTTACGCCTCTGGTAATATTTATTTTTTGCCAAATAAGGATCTCGTTAAAACCAAATCCTAACACAGACATTACAACCTATACCAAATCAAAGTTGATGAAGACTTTTGTGAAATATTTTTTTCATTACGGTGTACAATCCAGTGTCGTTGACAAGCTTCGAACTTGAGGAGACCCACATTGCCTCGCTATTGCTGCTACCATGTGAAATATTACTTTAGGTTTCCTGACGATATATTATGGTCATATATATCCATTGGAGTCACATTTGTGATAATGTCTTGAGATTGAGCCAATGTAAATGGCTCTGAAGTAAGGTCGTGAAATTTTGATTTTGGCGTTGATTAATTTGATTCAAGGTGGTTATGTGTTTTTTTCCCTCATGATCAGAGATGTGATCTCTCTGCATCTGAAAGTGCCTTTGGTTGGTTGCAAATTAGATTTAATTTAGCTTTTTCAATCTTTTGTTTTTTCAGTAGTCCCTTCAACACATTTTTTTATTCCATAGTTCATGATGCCACATTCTTCTCCTTCTGTGATGTGTTTATCACCAATTAGTATCTTCTTCCTCTAAAGCAAGTTCTATCATCCCTAACTCACTATTTTTAAAACTTTTAACATTTTTTCTCAATGAAACAATGTATGCTTCGAATGATGTAGCTTTAAAGCTACTGAACTACTGCGTGTGTTGTCCAACATGGTACGGACAAGTAGGGGTCCTCACCGCAAGTCGGCGTCTGATGGGCGTCTTGTGGCACGGGCTCTGTGCGGTCACGTAGGGTCAAATACAGTCCTGGTTCATTCTGAACCTGGAGACGTGAATTTACATGGAGGTACACGTTAAAAAACCAATAGCCACTTGGCCCACTCAAAACACCCTTGCTTCAAAAGTTTCGAAGTCCTGGGTAGGGAAAAACAAAATTATCATCAAATTCAAGTCAAAATACCGTGAACCTCTTCAAATTCAAATGGGGAGTAAAAAATGTTATTGCCCCACCAAAAGATTACATTATTTCATAACTTGTAGGATGAGTTGTTAGGACATTTGGTTCTAATAACGCCACATTAGTGGTTCTGGATGATAATCTCAGCATTACTCATGGCATTTTCATTGAGCATTTTAATTAAAAAATAATCAGTAAAGTGTTTTAACTTTGACCTTGTTCATGGTACCCAACTGATAATTGGATACAAAAACCCTCCAGCAGAGGGATTAATTTAATTCATTTTTACCTTAATTACATAATGTACAGAGTGCGCTTTGTAGATGGCCTGGCTGTTGGTGTGAACAAAAGAAATTCAGCCGGGCCATCTAAAAATACCCTGTATAGTTAGTAATGATAGCATTATTATTGTTTTCATTATCACAATATATTGCAGACAAAAAGAATTAAAAAAAGAAGGAGGTGCCGAGATTGAAGGCAAAGATAAGGACAAGAAGGAAGAGACCATGAATGATAAGCCTGGAAAAGACACAGAAATAAATGCTCTTCACAGAGAAATGCGAGAAGCTTTAGCAGGAGTTCAGCTTATGCCTCTTGGGACTGATCGAGCTCATAGAAGATTTTGGACATTCCCAACATTTCCCGGTTTGTTTGTGGAAGACAACGACCCTTTTAAAGGCGGATGTCTACCAAAGTATGTCACAATTTTAATACCGTTAAAATCTTCATTGATTAAATTACTGTTCCTTGTTTTCTTGCAGGTGTACACCATCAGTGTCGTTTAATATCTTCTCAGATGGTGATGACATTTCGTACCTTAAAAGGCTGTTTGAAGAGAGCGGTAACAAGGAAAATTTTGCAGGGAAGCACCAGACGGTGTCTGTCTCGAGTCACTCAAAGAAACTCCTGACTGAAAAGAACAGTTCTGACTCGCCGATCATGAACAGAACTCAAAAAGTCGAAACCGCCTCCAGCAATAGACCCCTGACCTGCTGGGCAGACCCGGTGAATTGTCCTGTGCATGGCACAGCAGCAAACAAGGTCATCTGGTCATTTTTTAAAGAGGCGAGTGAAGTGGAAAACTTGATTAATTCACTGAACAGAAGAGGAGTTCGAGAGAGGCGGCTGAGGCAGATACTGATACAGGAGAAGGACAAAATAATACAAAGCCTCAAAAATTGCCCAGTGGACAAATTAAATCCTGCACTGGTATGGTTTTTTTTTTTTTTTTTTTTTTTTTTTTTTTTTTTTTTTTTTTTTTTTTTTTTTTCCTTTTCCCCTTAATGGTAATGGATTTTAAATGTGTGGCTGAATTTTGAATTTAGGCTTGTGATGAGACAGTGATAGAATTGAGGAGCAAAAATGTGAATAAATTAAATAAACTTTATGAGAATGCCAATCTCGATTTTCCACCTGGCACACCGCTTGACGAAATCATGGAAAGCAGTGTTAGAGATTATATACTTGAAATGGAAAACAAAATCACAATGGGTGCACTTGGAACACTAAAGGTAACACAGTTTTTTTTTCCTTTTTACATTTTACATTGAAGCTTGTTGTTAGGTGAAAGAAATTGATGTATGGAGAGATGCTATTTCAAACAATAGTTATGACAAACAGTGTAAAAAGCTCGTTTGGGGATCATTGGTAAGTTTACAACTTAATAATTACTTTACCGACAACTTATTATTGTAATTTTTAAAGGGAGATGATGATAGCGAGGACAGTGATCATGAAAGTAAAACAGACGAAACAGAAGTAAAAGACGAAGAAAGTGAGCCGATGGATGTTGAAGAGAAAGAAGGTATTCAGTTAATTTTTTCGTCTACAACTTTTTGTACATTATCACAATTTAACGATTTTAATTACTTATTTTTCATTAAAAAAATAATTATATACTTTATACTGTTTAGATTCAGAAAGTAGAAGTTCAACTCCTTCAATAGAAGTTCGGTTGGATTCTTCTCTGAGGAAGGGATTTGAGATGGTGCCCCAAAGGCCGGTGATACTTGATCTTGCATCAGCAATTTTGCAGCTCTCCCAAGCAGTTGACATCCAGTACCTGAAACGGCCTTTAGGTAAGTATTAAGTTAAAAAGTTTAACCACAATTAATTGTTATCTTTATTTTCAAAGGCTTCGATCCTAAGGAACGTGATAAAGATAAATTTGACCTAACCTCTCCGACACCGACAATGCTTAGATGGGAAAAAGCCCTTATGGAATCAACAAATTTTTCACAACTATTTTTACATCTTTCAACATTAGGTGAAAAACACTTTCCAAGTCAATGAGTTTCAAGTGCAAATCATCTAATTTTTAATGTTTATGTTTTAGAAAATTCCATTTTATGGGAGAAGTCGGCTTCGAAAGCATATTGTAGATTGTGTCGAAGCAAGGCTGATCCTGAAAATATGCTTCTGTGCGACACTTGCAACAAAGGCCATCACCTGTACTGCTTAAAACCAAAACTCACGGTAATATTTTTTTTCTATTTTAAGAAAAATAAAATATGTAATTGTTTTATAAGCATTTATAAAGATAGAGAATGTTTTATAAACATAACTAATATACATTTTGTAAGGGCTGATTGCTATGTTGTTTTTAATTTTATTAACTACACTTAAATGCAAAATAATAGAAACTCATATTTTGTTGTTTATTTCAAAGTATATGTATTTTTATTGTTATATTAATTACAACATACTTATTTTAATGTAAACCGAATATCTGGAAGTCGTAAAATGACGGTTCCGTAGTACAATATAAGCAATAAAATGATCGAGACTTCTTATCGCCCTAAAGTTCTGTAGGCCATTGCAGCACGCCCAAGGCTTGGGCTAAGTAACGGACTATCGGTGGCCGAAGTATCTTTGAAGAAAACAAAATTAATTAACTCACTCGACAAGGCTCTGGAAAGGTTGAAATTAAATGGATTTTCTTTATTTTTAATCTAAAGAGAGTAAAAGGATTAGTAATTGTGTAGTGTAACCTATGTAGAATTTAATGATGTGGAGTGTAGGCTTATGTTTATTTCTTTTATTAAAACTCATATATTACATCATAATTATGTTAACATGTTGAATAAAGGAGCCTGAAACATTATTGATCCTTTGGGGAAGCAATTTTTTTCTGTATTTTTCATAAATGGTCTTAATATTAATTATAAAACATGGTAATTTTTTTATGTTGAACTGGCACACGGCCACTTACTGGGTCTATTCAAACAAAAAAACCGGCGAGTGTTTTAATTTAATCTTTCATTTAAAAAGTTATACATTCTGCACAGCACCTAGTTCCCAATTTTCGTAAAACTCTTTTCGTTTTTAATGGTTATTATTTGTTGAAGTCGTGAGGAGCGGGTAAGAATGAGGTAGTTTAGAAAAACTACTTCACGGCCTGGGTAAATTACAAAACATATTTTGAATGGAAAAAATACAATTAAGATGTAAATATAAATTTTGAACCAAGCCCTGAAGTTGAAATGGCAAAAAAATGAAAAAGGTGTTTTTCTAAACTACCTCATTCTTGACCACTCCTCACGACTTCAACATATTATGAAACAACAGGTCACTAAGAAACACACTTTATTATTATTTTGCTTTCCTAATTTTCTAATTTTATTTACTATTTTCTTAATAACAGCAACTTCTTTTATCATTACTGGAAGAAGTAAAATTGAAATTTCTTTTTAAAAAATAATAATAATTTGCAATAAACATATTTTCATTTTAAAAAATATATTCAATGTAAATAATTTAATATATGTAGAATGAAGTTCTTCGAAGCACTGGGGACATAGATTAATTTTCTGACACCAGTGCTACTATTGGGTTGTAGAAGCATCTTCACACTTTCCTACCTAGCCTTGCTGCAATATACACAAATGATTTGTCTCCAACACGTTGATGGTGGGAGATTAAGAAAATGCCCAGGAAGAGGGTGAAAGACTCTAGGGACAGGGCAGTTAGGGTAGTCCCTAAACATAAAGCACTCTTATGTCCATGATAGTTCCAAGTCATTTAGCTTCTTGTTCAATTGGGAATAACTATTGAACATGAAGAAATTTATCCTTGAGAAGTTTCTGGAAGAGATGAACCTTTTGTACCATGTGTGGTGTTTAGTGACTGTTAGTTAATGATTATTTGGAGATTGTGAGATGCGGTCTGGTGTGACATAGGTTTTAGAAAACCATTTTCTTTATCGTGCCAACGTTTCGATCTTTTTTGGGATCATCTTCAGGCTCAAAGTGTTTGTTTTCTGTGTAGATGTGTCATTCTTGTGTGTTGTGTTGTGTTTTTTGTACCATTTTTTACTACGGATGGACCTATGAAATTCCATTTTTTAACATGACTGGAAATTCAGAATCATAAAGCAATAAATAAATAACAAGTAACAAGAGCAATAAATATTGATAAGTATTAAAAATCAAAAATTCGGTACGAAAACAACAAAGGATAAATAAAGACAAACAACAATGAACAAATAAAAGTGCAGACCTACCAAATCACAAATTACATTTTGACAAAACTAACAATTTGAAGACACAAACTAATAAATAATAAGTAACAGAAGAAATAATTAACTGTCAACTAACTACAATAAATACTACAGAATAAATAAAGATCAAACACTCGGGAAGCCAATAGCCGTCCTATGAGGAGGGGATCCCCATCAGCTACAGAACACGCGCCGGGGAGGCTCTTGTCCACCCTTTACACAATTTAAAAGGCAACTGTTCTTCATAAAATAGGTGATTCAGGAGGATGTGGATAAAAACCATTTACAAAATATGACGCATGGTCTTATAGAAAAGTCCACATCCCAGGGTCTAAATGCCCAGCGCGTTTAGAGAGCCCAACCCGAAGACAGCTCCACATCTGGGCTGAACCCCAAGGAGATTGAACTGACCTCTACCTTAACGATTTCACGTTTACACATTGATGCCACTATTTTGTAAGAAAATATATGACCTGGTATACGTCCACTCTGTTAAGAGCAAGTAGGCTCTCCCAGCTGACCGGTTTGTTGATATCTTTCATGTTGTACAGATTTTCAAGGAAGTCTATTCTGGTAGACTCGTATTCTGGACACACTAAATCAAATGTTTGATAGTTTCTGGTTGATCACAGGTGGCACAGTTTGGGGACGCTCTACAATTTATTTTGTGCAAATAAGCCCCGCAAATGCAGTGGTTGGTGCGTATCTGAAACATTGAAGAATACAATTTTTTGCATCCAAATTTGGATGTTGCAAACCTTGGGATGGAGCGCAATTCTGGGTGTAGCGATTTGTAGAAGTTTCCCGCTGTTCCACTGTTGTACCAGTTACGCCACTCCACTAACTTCCTGCTTAATTGCACAGCTTTTCCTAGTTAGATTCCCTTTTCAGAAATTAGCAAAAACTGATTTCAAAACTTTAAAAACCCTGAAAAATTGAAATACATTTTTTATATTTACCATTATTTATTGTTATAATAATGAAATTTATATAAAAATTGAAGTATTTAAAAATTAAATGAAGAGAACCATAAATTTTTACTTTGGGTAGATTTCTCCGTACAAATGCTGAATTGCTCTCTTAATATTTTAGCATTAAACAGTCTCTTTTTAATTTTTTTAGTCTTATTTAATGGAAAAATATTGAAATCTTAACTTTAAAAGGCAAAAAGTGGACTCGGGTGTCAGTGGACCTGTACCGGAACAGTGCATCTGTTTGAAAACTGGTTTCACACTGAATCTAAAAATGACTTCAAAGTGGCAGTTTTAGGGGGGCATCGGTGACAACAGTTTAGGCATTGACATGGGGCTCATCACTGTAAGGTAAAGGTCTCAGGTTCAAATCGAGCACCTTGCATTTGAACCAGACATACTTACAAATAGGCTTTTTTACCTTACTTACCCTCAACTGGGGGAAAATGATAGACAAGGTGCGTCTAAATAACAACCTGGGACTCATATGTAACTAGTGCTTGTAATGGAATAAAGGCCCTTCATGCAAAAATGACAATTTTTCCTTAAATCTTATTAGGAGCTGTATTTAAACCTCTCTGCAGAATGATCATTCTGCTATCTTTTCTACGATAAAATGTCAAAATATATTAACTCAATTAGAGAAGAGATCAGGGACAATAAATAGTCCATAGAACAATTTTTTTATCTTATTGTTTTTTTAATCCAAGTACTTATAATTTTAGAAAGTACCTGCAGGTGATTGGCACTGCCCTAGATGTAGGCCAAAGGAAAAGTTTAAAAGAAAAAAGAAATTGAACGGAGAGTATGAAGAGGAGGAAGAAGTCAGTTTGGAGTAAGTTCTGTGTAAAATAACTTCAAAGATGATAAAATGTAAACACTAATTGACTCGCTGTTCAAAACAGAGATTGTTCCTGTAAGATTTGTGACAAAATAGGTGCACAGATCAAATGCGATAACTGCAAGTCGAAATTGCATTTGGCCTGCGTCAACCCCCCACTAAGAAGGGTGCCGCAGACGGAGTCGTGGATCTGCCACCTCTGCCGAGTCCATAACTCGCAAATCCAGTTGGCGAAGAAGGAAAGCATTGAAATCAAGAGCGAAAGCAACTCGCCTGTTTCAGTAAAGGAGAAGGAGCCGAAAAGCGATTCCAAACAAAGGGTAAAGAAAGAGCCCAAGGTGGAGGAAAAATCTGTAAAGAAAAACGGACTACTTAATAACAGTCATTATGATGGTGAGTAAATTTTTAATTTGGTGCTGGCTTAGTCGTTAAAAAATGCTTGTTTACTTTTCTTTCCTATTAACACTTTTCGAAAATGAGAGCCACGATTTGTTTTGTTTTTTTAAACTTCATCTTGCTTGTCAACTTACTGTTTCTGTTCCCGTGCAGATGTTTACTGTACAAAAGCCAAGTTGCTTCATTGGATGTCTCAAATCAACTCTCAAGAAAAATATGCCACAAGAAGCCGTAAAAAATTTAAACCTGGATGATTTGAATAAACCGGAGAGATACTAACTTAAAAGCTTCAACCGTTTTTCTCTCATAAATAAACTACACGCTTTAACTTTTTTACATTCTCTCCAATACTGGATATCATTAATTTAACTTTTATTACGATCAATACGTATAACTTATTTTGTTGACATTTTTCTAACTCGAACTAAATAAAATTTTGTAAAATCTGTATCCATTGTATATTTTTAAAATCTGACTAGAAATTTCATCCTGAAACAGACGTTCATGTCTTTCTGTACTATTTATTGTTAAATAAAAGTAATTGAAAATGTATAATGCAAGTTTTTTGTTTTTTTGATTACTGTGCTTACTATTTAAGGGTGGCTACAGACATGAAATTATTGAGGATGCCTGGTAAAAACGAAGTAAAGTATTGAGTAGTTGCATGGATTCAGTTCTATACAAAAATTGAATATCAAAATATTTAATTTTCTTTATGGCCATTTCTCTGTGCGCAATTCAAAATGTATGCATACACGACTGTTCTGTTAACTCTCAAATCCACACGGTATTAAAAATAAAAGTCATTATAAATAGTCTGCATGCATTTCTTTTTTTCTAGTATTTCAAGGTGGTGAGGTTAGATGTAATAAAAATACATAATAAATCATTTTACATGTTGATTTTATATTATATAGAGAAGAATGTTGATAAGGGGTAATACATTTTTTTTAAATTTTCAAATCATTGAAATTCATAGATATAATAGAACTATCTTATCCACTGCTTTATTTATCTTCATTGATAATCTTGTCTTGATTTGCTGTATGTGTCAATTTCATTGAACCTAAAAGGACAAATATGTAGAATCAACCGCTAAAAAAAGAGCACTATTGATAGAAAAATTGTCACAATGTGACAATCTGTGAGGTGAGATCTGTGCGAATGTTTTATGTCGTCTACAATTCCAAAATCTGAACTATCCTGACCTTGTCTTGATGACCAATTTATAAACTTGAGATAAACAGTCGGTGACTCGGTCAATTTAATGTATGTCTGACAATTTCTGTAAGAGTAATAAAAATAATCTTACACAATGAAGTTTTACGTTATGTAAGAACATAATTTCTATTGGTGGGAACTAACAGAAGGGCATGATCACAAAGTAATGTTTAATCTGAACATGTGCAAATTCTTTATCCCGTCTTGTACATTTTAATAAACAGTTAATTTCAAACTTACGTCAGTGTAAAGCCTATTTTAAACTTCAGCAATCATATGAAAGTATTTAATTTTTTTAAACTTTAATCTTGTATGTATTAATGATTAATTTTATTGCAATTGTAATTATAACAACCATAACAAAAAAAAACACTTGCCCCAAAGAAAGGCCAGAAGAGAATAAAACAGGCATTCGAACATGTTGACATTCAGAAGTAAAGAATAATAACTGTAGCAACCCTCCGTAGTTGCTTGAGTTGAATATTGATTTCAACTGGTTCGGGGTTGATTCCAGACTTTGTATGCGAATGGAGAGGCTCCGAGAGGCTAAGCCCAGATATCGAGCGAGCCAGTCGCAGGAAGTCTTCCAAAGCGGCAACGGCCAAAATCTCTCTCTTTGCCAAACAGCTGCGGAGCACGCATTGGGACGGTTCGTCTCAAAACAATTCTTTTATTTAATTTGCCCCCTCGCTTTTATTTCTAGCAACAATCTTTTGGTTTTGGTTTTGTTCAATATATACATATCCTTTGCATGATACATTTTGATTGTAACCAAAAGAATTTTTTATTATTATTATTATTATTATTATGTCCATGGTAAGTGAAAGTATTTTAACACTGCATTTTGGGGGTGTAGAGCATGAAATTTACAAACTAATAAAAACAAGTTTGTTTAAATTTCCGTATTGTTCATAGATGATGGTGTTTTTAACGACAAGGAGCCTATGAGATCAGGCCGTAGGTCGAGGCGATACTTGGAAAGTGTCAAAAAATCAAGAGACTTGCCTTTGGACAACGCTGCTCTTCAGGAGATACTCAATACTCTAATGCACCAAGAAGAAGCTTGGCCTTTCCTCCGACCTGTTACAAAAGTTGAAGTAAGCGATCAGAACGTCTGTTTAAAAAATTGATTCAGAGAACTGAAGAAAAATAAAAACCGTCGCTTTTCAGGTTCCAGATTATCACGAAATTATCAAAAAACCCATGGATTTCGGTACGATAAAGCATAAATTGAACATGCTTGAGTACAGTAAAAATAGTGAGCTTATCGCTGACGCACACTTGCTCTTTGAGAACTGTAGTACATATAACCAAGAAGGAAGTGAAGTGTACAGGTCAGTAAAATGATTTAATATATTCATTATACTCATACTAAATAAAATTTTTTTGTTTTGAAAATTTTGCAATTGGTAAACAGATAATTTGTTTATACACTCTGTTGTCACCAGGAAAATGGCTAAATGATTAATTAATTAATTTTTCCCCTCTTCATCTATTCCATTATGGATAATTTTTTATTCCAGTGTTGTCACTCATCTGCAGTTAAACCTTAGTTGAGTTGTATATTTTTTATGCTCTGGATTTTTTTTTCTTGTTTGTTTCAATGTCATGCATAGGTGCATATCAAATCACTTTATTTGTTATAAATTTTACTTGTTTTAATAACAGGGCTACATCAATTAAAGGAATGTTGAGTCCTGTTCAAAAACAAGATTAATATAAATCATATAGCAGGTCTTTCACTAGCCATTGATAGATTATTCTATAAAATCTTTTACCAGATAAAGCTGTAATAGTTTCAGGCAAATGTTTTGAATATTCTAATGCCTAACCTCTCATAATCATTGAACACAACTGATTTCTTACATTTTGGCATAATATTAGGTCTGAGGCATTTATTGTCATATTTATGCATAACACGTCAAGGTAGAATAGAAATCCGTTTATCCGGACTTGAAGGGATTGGGACTTGTCTGGATGATCTAGTCTGGATAATCCAAAAATTTATGATTTTATTAAGATCGTGTCATAAAAACTCACTTTAAAAAATAAAATAAAAACATGAAAGTGTACACTTTTATTCATATAATCAAGTTAAATTTAAAGTAATAGATAGCCTTTTTTGACTTTTGTAAGTACAGACATGTGTTTTGCGAAACATTTATAGGTAAAAAAAAATATCTATTAAGAATATACATAATAAAAAAACCTTTTCGATGGAAGCCAACATAAAACAACTTTTCTTGTATTTTAAAGTAGGATACACCTTTTTTTAATTTAAAAGCGTGACTGTCGATCGACCTCTCTGGCCTCTTCGATCGTGTGACTAGTGGAAGGGTGATTTGGCAGCCTTTATTTCGAACGATGAATTAGAAGTCCCACAATTGAATTATGAATATAAAAAAATTAATATTTTATACATATACAATACATTGAGAATTATGAAAAATTTATAACAAACATTTTAACAAATGGGTCCAGAAGTCCGGATAAACGGGTTAATACAGTTAGTCTTAAAAATACTTACAAAATTATCACAATAAGGTATCATGGCCTTGAAGACTAAAAAATTCATTTAGATTATAATACGATTTTCCCTGTAAATTAATATTCAAAGCCCTTTTAAAACTGGACAAACTATTAATTGTTTTCATACTAGCAGGGGGAGCATTCAGCTGTAAGTTACCATGTAGGAAAAACATTTATTAGACCATCAACTAATTACCTAAACTAAAATCATTCTTGGAGCATAGTTTTTAACATTATTTTTTACTGTTTAATTCTTAATTATCCTTAACGGGTTCTCTGCTTTGACATCAGAGGATGAAATCTCACTTTTTCTTTTTCAGGGCCGGTGAAAAGTTGAAAGCGCTTTTCGAGAGACTCTGCCAGGAGCACAACCTGTTGGCTGACAGTGATGATGTGTATAATCCTCCGAAAAGAAGTCGATCAGTATTAACGTAGAATCCCCCCCCCATTGCATGTTGGTTTGTGTGAAGTATGAAAATAATGGTCTCTAAAATAAAGAGGAGGCAATGCAGATTGCAAAGAAATGTGAAATAAGTAATATGAGAGCAAATAAGCTTTATTAAGATGATACACATCAAACTTTTTCTCTTTTTTTAAATTTAAATTTAATTAATAGTATATTTAATTCTTAATTTTTTTGCATGTAAGTACATTTACAAATTATGAACATTTTATTTGATCGATTGTTTTAATAAATTATGCCCACCACATTATTTAAATTTCCCCATTCAAATTGATTAAATCAATTAAATTTTTGAACATATTAAGTATTGGAAGCTTCTTTTTTTTCTGTTCTATGCTTTAAATGCACTTATTACTATTTATTTTTAGATATTGATTTTCTAATAAAATTATTTAAATTAAGTTGTAAAATAAATTAGGTTTAATTATTTTTATTTTTGCCTTTTTTTGTTATTCACTTTTATATTGGTTTTTCGAAATATTAAGATTCCTTGTTTGTTTTTCAAATGGCCTCTTTTTCTCATTTTAAAACACAAATACAAAAAACGTTATTAAACAATTTTTCATGTTAAATTAAAACAATGTATTGATACTTTACAGTTGGCTAGCCTTTAATTATTGGTTTGAACTTCCTGGATATAAATTTTTTAAATATATTGTATTTTTTGAAATTGTTTGTTACTCTTTGTTTCATTTTAAATACAAACCCAAGGCAAACAATAAATATCAGTGTTAGGCATGTGCAAATATTTGTTTTATTAGATTTCTACACCTGGATTTGTGCATATTTCCATACAATTTGCTGTAAAATTCAATCGAAACGTATTTATCCAAAACGAAAGTGCCTGAAATTAAATTTCATCTCAGACCTCTATTAGACCTTTCTGTTGTTCCGTTGTGTTTGGAAGTTTTCTCCTTGTAGGAATTTATAACTGTAAATTGTTTTATCATTAAAGCAAGAACACCCCTGAAAACGAATTGACATGACCGAAATTCTTTTATAAAACTTATTTTTTTGAAGGAAAGTAATTTTTTACAAAAATATTTTATAATCTGAAGAGAAAAATTAAATATTCCTAATTGCCAAAGAAAAATGTTCTTGAAATGAACCTCCTCCTTTTTTTTAATACGTTAAAATTTTATGTAAATACATTTTAAAAGCATGTAATTTTGTAGTTGTACCCTTTGAAAAGGATTTATTTTAATTCTGTACTTATTACAAACCAATTTAACAGTTTTCAACGTAAAAAAAAAAAAAATCATTTTTGTAACAAAATACAAAATTTCACTGAAATACTTTTATTTCAAACCTTGCACAAATTTTTGTCAAGAAAACAAATTAAATAAACTGTTGTAAAAATTGTAAAATTGATAATAAAATGTTTATGAATAAATTACTAGAATGGTTTTCTATATTTTTCAAAGCGAGGGTAGGTTTGGCATATAGTGAGGCATTGTAACACAGTGGAAATTTGTGAGATAACTGCCTACCTTATCTGCCCCAACTCCCACAGCACGGTTACTGGTCCTCCGTAGATCCTGTCATACTCTTGTTATAGATAACATGAACTGGAGTAATTTTTTTTTTTTTTTTGGGGGGGGGGTCTTTGGAGTGTACATGCACGTGCGTGTATGTCAATTGTTTTCAAAATCAATTTGAGTTTTGATGACACTAGTGATACAATATTAATAGATAAAATATATTAATGATAAATAAAAATGTACAAAGTTATATATATATATATTATATAGACAGGGGTTATTCTTCCATATATATTTTTTCTACATCTAAAAAAAGTTGAAAATGTTGAAGTGAAATGTGAGCCAGATAAGGCTTCAACAGAAATTTCACATTTTTATACCTTCCATAAACATGAAACACGCAATGGATCAAGGTGATTTGACTGATTAAGAGACTTAATTTTATTATTTTACTTTAATGGTTATATTTCTGCCTTATAAAATTAACATTACCTACAAATTCACAATTACAATTTGTAAAATCACACTGTGAAAAAAGCTTATCATTATTTACAGTTAAAACTTGTTTTTAGATGGTTTCTTTCTAATTTTAACTTAGGTTTTTAACACACTAACTTCTCTGAGGTAGTCGGCATTTTTTCTTATTTGGTTTCAAATGTGAACGATACAGGTTTAGCACCATCGAAGAAAAGAGGTATTTACACACAGATTTTATTGCAAATTGGTTCTGTTGGAAGCACCAAGTTTATTGTGTCGTTTTTTGCAACAATGGCAATTTATAAATTGTTCTCTAGATTGTTTTCTGTATTTGTAATCGAACATTTCCAGTGCCTGAAAATAACTACAATCCCATATTTTGTTTCAAACTTTTTATTTTTATGAAAAGCGTTATCCAAAAATCAGTCTTTGCACTAAAATGTACAATTATTACCTTATTATCTATTTATGAACAATTGTATTCAGTAATTCTGATTGAAAAAAACAAATGAAATATATTTATGATTGGTATAAAATTGATACAACCTAATAACCATTATAGAAACTGTACACAACAACTATTTTATTATTTATTTACAAATAAAAGAAATCATAACAAAATTTAATGTTTTGTATAATATTATTTATTTTTTAAATCCTTAAAAACCAAAGAAAATCTACTTACAATTTCTTTTTGTTTTGTAACTTATTTTTCTCCTTAAATAAATAAATATTTAAATCGCCATTTATTCACAAATCAGTCTATGTAAATAAGATTTTATTGAAGTATTTAATTGTTTTTAAATTTCAAATTATTAAAAACAGTTGATATGTGCATTAGATATATAATTAAGTTTACGAATTTAAACAAAACAATTTTTTTTAATAAATCTGAAAAACAGTAATAAAGCCATAAATAATAAATTGTCCCCAAAAATAAGGTCAATCTTTTAAAATTATAGCACTCGAGACTTTATGATCACAAATAAAATCAAAAATTTTGGCAAACTATTTACATACGCTAAAATTATGGATACATAATTCATAAATTAAGAATTAAAATGCAAACAATTTGAATAAATATTTGTTATATAACATATAAAAGATTCAATTTAAATGATAAATTTATTATTATATATTCTGCTATTGCACATTTGGCATTGTAAAAATTAATGGCTTACATCCACTTAAAAAAATAAAATAAAAAATAAAGGAAGCACTAGCTGATTATACAAAAGATGAATCGTTCAGTTTCCTCATTTTCTGAGGAGTTAAAAAAACAAAACATTACTTTCGTTGAAATCTTCGTTTTCACAACCTATCACAAAATTTTGTTATCCTTATACAGGCTCCTCTACATTAAAAAGATGGGCTCAGTTGCAATAAAAATAAGGCAACTTAAAAGTTCTGTTACAAGAGAAGAACAAAGTCATTAAAGCTGTAAAATCCAAATTGTATCACATTTTGTTTAATTTAAAAACGTCCCACATCTCCTATAATTAAAAAATAAAACATATTCCCTTGTGCTTCTTTGCAAAATTAAACCGGATAACAATTGTACATACAAGTTCAATTAAGAATGAAATTAAGGGGAGGGGGTATTTAAGACTCTTTCCAATTAGCCGGCTCTTGATTTACAATAACCTGTATTACATAACCAGGCAGTATTTTAGAATCGTCGATATGCAACTTATCGCCTAGAAGTTTCCCTCCGAAAAACCACCTTTGCTTTGAAGGCTCCAATCCCTCTTGGTACTAAAAAAAATTGCAATTAAAATATAAAACAAATTGCATCATTGAAAGTTGCCACTTTGAAAATAACGTACCTGCAACTTCTTTTTGGCCATTCCGATGGTGTCTGTGGTATATATGGGAAGTTTGACATCCTGACATGTCGAGGACAGCCTTAGTTTAAGGACTATTTCTGTCCCACCTTCGACTGGTTCTGAAACAAATTAAACAATTTACACAAGCCCAGTACAAAAATCAACGAATTAATGAAAATTAACAAAATAAATAATTGACAACATGAAAAATCTGAACAGTATTAACCTTATTAGTGTTCAGTATTACCTGAATTTTCAGCTGGGGAATCTCGGCCACTGTCCTCTTTGACAATGTTTATCGGGTATGAAAGGCAATAAACTGGGACTTGGTAACGTGTTCCTAATTCATCGTAACATTCAGTCAAAAAACCTATAAAAAGAGAGAATATTCTATTCAAATAAATTTATGATAACAAAGTTCTAGAAATGATGAAGGTGGGGTGAATATGTAGATTCACTTTTTGTAAAATATGGTCCTTTTAACTGATTTTAATTGTGTATGTATTAATTAAAACATCCATTAATCCTTTGACTAGCAAAGAAGAAGGTTAGAAGTAAAAAGTGTAGAATGAGTATAATATGAAGTAAGATTGGCTCTAAGTGAGAAGATTGGCTTGTAAACGTCGCAGCATTTTTTACTAATTCAACTTTATCCATCTTATGTTTTGAAGCAATGTTTATCATGTTCACAAACTCTAAAAAGTGATTAGTCAGTTTCATTAGAGATCTTGTATTTTTGCAAGGTGTTCTATGAATTTAAAATGGAAAAAAGTAGCTCATTTTTATCTTTTAATGGGTTTTTATTACCACAAACCGCAGGGGAAAACCACAGCTCAGTCTGCTAGGAAAATTTGTTATTTGAATGGTAATGAAGCTTTAGGAGGAAACACCATCCACACCGTCCACATGTAAGCGGTTTGCTTGAACAAAAGGGAAAATTTTGGTTTGGAAGACAAAGCAATCTGCTCTGGTCATCCTATAGTCGTTGAAGATGACCAAATTCAAGCGTTTATTACAAATAACAAGACATTGCAGAGATAGATGATATATCTCGCATTTCAATGCATCTAACAGCACTTGGGCGTTTGACAATATGTCAATATAATTAGAAAAATTTATTGGACCGCATCTTCATCTGTGATTCCCTCCTAAAATGCAGTGTAAACGTCCTATTTTTAAAAATATTCATAACTGAGGATGAAAATCGGGCCCATGTTCTGAGAAGAAAATCCTGGGGAAAACGCAGTGACAGTTACAACTCCAAAAACTTACAAGAAGGTAATTTGCATTTGGTGAGATTCGATGGGCTTTATTATGAACTTTTACACCTCAACCAAATTGTTAATTCTAGTTTGTACTGCACACAATTGGAGCAAATAGCAATCAACAAAATATGACCATCATGTAGGGCTTGCTTTCAACGAGAAAACATTCGCCCCCCTCATGTCTTTGCAGAAGCACCAGAAATTGTGGGGCTTGGCTGGGCGGCTGGGAAGTGCTACCCTACCACCATATTAGCCTGACATAGACCCTTCAAATTTTCATTTATTCCGGACTGTACAAAACTCTATTAATAGTAAAAACTTTACGTTGGATAGGAGAAAACACTTTGAGGAGTTTATCGCCCAAAAGCCTGACAAGTTCTAAGAAAACAAAATGACATGGATGACGGGGCAAAAGGTAGTGGAAAAACAAAATGATTCATTCCAAAACATAATTTCTTTCATTTTTCTGCCAACGTTCTGGTAGTGCAAATATGCTATTTTTATAGAAGCCTGGTGATTTAGATAAGAAGAAATCTGTATGCCCAATTCTCAGAGCATTTTCTTTCAAAAATTTCCCACCTTTTAAATGGTTATTAAGGGAGCGAAACAAATATAAATCAGAAGGGGCAAGGACGAGTGAGTTTGGAGAGTGAAGCAATTATTGCCAGGATAACTCGGTGATTTTATTCCGAGTGCAGCTGCATGAGTCCTGGCATTGTAATAAAGAAACATCGCCACTATTCACGGCTGAACGTTTTTCTTTCCACTCTGCCCCAAAATGCTCTAGTTAGGCACAAAATACCTCTGGCCTAAGGGTTTGGTTGCATGTTAACAGTTCCCAATTATCCCTCACATATCACACCAAACAGACAATAGGACTTTACAACGGTGCAGTGCCCTACCGTCAATGGTGACAATTCTTACAAACAATCCTATGGCTTTTTGTAAAACATCATCTCACCCAAAAATACGTTTTTATTGGAGTATATATCCTCAGATCATTGATGTTGACATAAATTATAGGAAGAACTGGATGACAATTTATTGTTATTCTGATAAAGATCTAAACTTTATTTTTAAAAACAGTTACTTTATTATTTTTTGTTATATTTTATTTAACATTGAAAATTGCTGTGGCTATTGCTTATCACACTAAATTGCTAGTTTTATTTGATAACCAAATGAATCATCTATAAATTAAAGGTGATTTCACGTGTAAAAAATTTTACTCGCAAATATTAAAGACTAATTAAAAATGTGTCAACACTAAGAACAGGCTGAGATTACAAGAGCTGACGAATTGCTGAATGACATCATTTAAAAGACTAGAGAGAAAATTCTGTAAATGTTAATTAATATAAATTTTGTAAATAAACTCTTGGTGACACAATTTATACAAAGAAACGATATTAAACTTATTACTCAAAAGTTTTGAAAGTAATTCCTTGTATTTTCAAAAATAAATCCATTTCCAGTAAATCATAAGATATCTGTGAATTAAAATACTAGCAATGACATTTGTCTTATCTTCTAAGCGACCATGGAATAATACTACTGTTTATTTAAACCCTGAGCTGGCTTTAATTTAATGTAGGATAAAAATCAAACAAAAATAAATCAATAGAATTGTAGATCAGCATTTCCCAATTGGTGGTGCCTTGGCCCAAGGGTCCAAGGACATTTTACTTGGGGGGGGGGGTTTCCACGGCCAAATTTTAGAAAATACGAAGAAAAAGAAAATAAATGACTGATAAATAAATGAAAATAATTAGTACAATATTTAAAATAAATTTATCCGAAAGAAAAGCTTTGCAATATTTAGTTATATTGTGAACTACTGATTCAGGTAAAAAACAAATCCAGAAAAGCTGCTCGATTTGGAGAAAAGCACCTAAACTATTTTTTTTCTTCTATTTTTAAAAATTTCCAACAGATATGTGAGGTAATCACCATTCACACTAAAATCTTAGTTGATATTCATGTAGACAATACATTTTTTTTTAAGAAAAACAAAACTTCTACCTTTTTATTTAATTATCAAAAATGGCTGCTTGATGGTGAAATGAAGGTTCGAGGACAAATGAGTTTTTATGAACCATAGTGCAATTAGTTGCAATACAAACTTAAAAAAAAATCTAAAATATTCTTTAAAAAAAAAATATTAAGATAATGAGAAACGTGTTGCATAATTGTGAAATTTCTTATTGAGGTCTGTGGAGCGGTGAATGATTATTTGGGACTGTTTATACTTGCTGTTTTGCCTGCCAAACATTTTACCCTTTTGGCATCATCAGTGATGGATCAGTGAGTTGTTTTGTTTAGTCAGGTCCATTAAAAATATCAAAAGAATGTGTTGATGTTTTCTTTGTTGCATCTTTGATGGATAAGTGTAGATTTTTTGGTTTGCCTGTTCGTCCTCTTCCTTTTTAAATTGTAACAATTATGCAAGTTGTTTGTGTTCATGAGTTGAACTTTAAATAAATAATAAAAGAATGAAGGCAATGAGAAGCATATTGAATAATTTTAACTAACTGTACTTTTAATCTAAGGTCTTGGTTAACATGAAAAAGCAAGTGTCATGAGCGGGATTCAAACCCTTCAGCAGGACAGATGAAAAAACATTATTGTCACTTTCTGTGACTAATGAAATTATAGGAAACATCATTTGTCATACCAATAAAGAAATGGAGAACTCAATGCTCATGTACACAAGTACAATGAACCGCTCTATTCATTACCTATGTTGTTGGCAGCCCAGGATGGGTAAAATTCATCTATCAAGACAAAAATATTATCTAAAAAGAATAAAAAAAGAATAAAAAGGTTTTATTCATGTAAGATATTATCAGAGGGACTGCATTAGCAGAGTGGTTAAGGTGTCAGACTCTCAGCTAGTAGATCCTGTGGTCGTGGGTTCGATTCCCACTGTAACCCCCTGGACTATTTTTCTGACGCCTAAGGGGACCGGTGGTAGAGAAAGGTCTGGAGCAGGATCAGATCTCAGTGTTGCATGCCCCCAAAAATGGAGCCAGGAAAGAAATACAATAAGCTGTACACTACAGGTGCAGTGCTCAGGGTGAACTCCTTCAGTTCCTGGTATCCATTTGGGGGGAAAGATATCAAGAAATATTATTATACAGTAAAAATGATTATTGTGAACTTAAAAGAAACCTCATCAAGAGATAGGGTCGGATTTGACCTGACTGTACCGTATATTTCAGTTTAAAGCAATGTAATGTTTGATGGTCAATGAATTGTTCGTGCTCGTGAGTGAACGTTAAACATTAAATTTGGAAGACAAAGAGACGGACGTTATATGAAATGACTGCACTTACCATTAGGCACTGAAATGTTAGCTCCGTCGAGTATGGCTTGGGCGAGCTGAAAGTCGAGCGACTCGACTGCAACAGTGGCAGCCCTGAGCGCATCCCAGATCTCTTTCCTCCCTTCGAAGGCCGGAGCCGTCTCCCAGAACTCGTCCCTCTTGCTCCGCAGCTGCCCTTCTGTTAACGGCACATCGGACCTCCACCGGATAGTCTCATGGCAAAGAGGATGATTCTTTCTCGTACTGCCTAATTTAAAAAATTTCATAAAGCACATTTTGCTGAGAAATTTTGCAACATTTCTAATAAATAGCGCACGCCGAGTCGAATGTAAACAGGTCAAGAAATAAAAAAAATATGCGTTTTAATTTTTTTTTGTTTTGTTTTTTTGTTTTAAGGTTACCTGATGTAGGACGAGATACGTTTTCTCCTGCGTTTTCATTTCCACTTCTCCTGTTGCGATTTATTCCTATACATCCTCCCATTCTTGTAATAAAAATAACTGCTGCATCTCAGCAACAACCCTAGGCCTTCTTCGAACGACTGGCGTGAAGGATTATCACAAGAGATATCGTGCTCATGATCATTTTCCCATATCTGTGAAATAAGAAATACGTCCACCTCGGCCACAGAATAACCTAAACTGCCGTCCAAAAATGAAACTTTAGACATTCCTTGGATCAAATATTTCAACGCTCCAATGTCACGTTTCTACAACTAAGCTACTAAATGGCGGGAGTGCTGGATAATTTAAATCTAAAGCCAACTGTTTTACAGATATTCAGCCTTAAGTACGTTTATACTAGTTATACAAAAATAAATAGCATTAAATTATTTTAAAAAACCGGCAATATTGGTTTTCCATAAAGCTGCCGTCATCATTCAATATTCTCATAATTAAAATATTTCAGCATATTCTGACATGTATCATTACACTTAAACCCCCCCCACAAAAAAATTTAATATATAATTTTCATAATATTAAACTAACAATTAATCTGCAAAAAAATTTGAAGGTTTTTATTTTTAATTTTTTGTATATAGTAATAATTAAGATTAAAGCACATGTACACAATAATCATTGTGATCATACAAAGCAAAATGCTACTGCTGATTAATAACAAATTAAGAATATGTGAAAACAAAACAATACTAAAACATCTGCTATTGATAAATATACAAATATTTGGTTTAAATTGTTAAATGTATCTACAAATAATCTGGATCTCAGTATGGTCTTGACGAAAAAACAAATTCAATTGTTGTCTGCCAAAATTTTAACCTATTTTAAAAATTCACTAGTTTTCGTGGTCTGCTTGACCAATTAATATCTTTCAATTAATTAAGGTTTTTAGTTGAGATAAAAAATGACATGATCGGGATTCGAACCCACGACCTTTGGCTAAATATGTTGCTACTCCACCACCTGAGCTATCATGACTTCGATCCACTCGGACACTAACTTCCTATCTCAACCTCACCATATTTTAAAAAGATCATCAGGGCAAAACAATCTTAAATGTGTACACAAGTTGACATAATTGAAATTTTAATAGATGGTTTTACATTTCTTTACATAAGACTGGCTCAGACCCAACATTGCTAAGAACAGTATTAAAATATATATAGTATAGTTTTACTGGTTGTATAGTAGTATAGTGGTTGTATAGTAATCATTTGCCTATTAATTATTAAATTAATTAAATATACTTTTTAATCCAAGGTCCTGGTTGAGATGAAAACGCTAGTGTCAAGAGCATGATTCGAACCCATGACAGCTCAATATGACACTGCTGTAACCACTTGAGCTATTGTGACAAATGGTGTAGTGAGATACGGTTGTCAATTCAAAACCCACTCCAGCATTTGTTTTTTCATCTCAACCAAGACAGATTATTAATGAATAATTAATTAACATTACTAAACACTATAACATTTCTCCTGAATGTAATAGAAATAATAAGGTAGGGTGAATAAATAGAATCGCTTTTTGTAAATGATGGTTTTACACCCAGAATTTATTAGTTATTTTGTCAATTCTGGAAGTAGAACAATCATTTACAAAAACTTGTCTTGGGTAGGTAGTACAATCCTTTACAAGTAGGTCTTCAAAGAAAGTTAAAGCCATCTATTAAAAACTAAAGACATATTTAAGATTGTTTTATTCCAAGATGACCTTAAAATAGGCCGGAAGCTTGGCAGTAACAATTGAATTTCCTTTTCATTCAGACCATATCGAGATCTGGATTGTTTCTTGAATGATGAACAAACTCTGTTCATTAGTAAACAATATAAAATCAAGCATAACAATGAAAGATAAATTATCAATTTAAATTTATTAATATAATTTGCTTATTTGGAAACTGATGCATTTTTTTAGTTCTTCTACTTCTACTACACAGAGAATGAATGCTTCATATTCTACTCTTCTATCTCAATTTCAATGTGTATACCCCAAGGCTCTATGCTTGGACCTTTATTCTTTTCCATATTTCTCCTTGTTTTTATGCCAGTTCAGGGCCTCCAAAAATCATCAGAAATTGCTTGCAGACCCTGCAATTTTCACCTTCGATCTCCTACAATGCACTTTGGGTAGTACTTGGTAGGTACAAGTTGGTCTTGGTTGGCAATAAAAAATACCTCGGCCTCTGGACAAGACTACCCTCCGTTGGCCAAGTGAATGATTTCTTCATCATTTCTATTTCCATTTTCTAGATCATTTCCATCAGTAGGATACTGTCCGTGCAAAGGTTTGGCTCTCCATTGGAAGGACATGTGATTTTCCCATATGCTGTATTTTTCTCCTCTCCAGGATGTCTCCGGTTAAGGTGTACAGATTTTGGTCTGACTATTTATTATTTATTATTGTGCAACTTATTAAATCAAACATTGGTTTTGATTCATATACAAAAGAAACTTAAACAAAGATTTGTTCTTTTAAAAACAAGAATGATTTAAAACATTAAAGAGGACTGCTGACTTGAAAAATTCACTTTAATTAGAAACAAAAATTGCTAGTTATTAAAGGAATGTATAAAAAAAAATTTGGTTAGACAACATATCTACAAAAAAAACTACTAACTACTATATATTTAAATGTATATTTTAAATCAAATTTTGGATAAAATTGACAATAGTTGCTGATCATAAAATGTAAAGAAATTTAAATTACTTACTTAAAAATGGAACTTGAGTGTTTTTAGACAACTATTTTACAAGGTTCATTTTTATCCTTGAACCATGCCAAGCAAATCAGGTTGAGGCCATCCAAAACCTAAACCTTGTTAAAACCAAATTCATTTATGTAATCGACAATATTAAAAATATATATTTAAACAATTCATTTTATTTTTTTGTACAAATAGTGCAAATTTAGAGGCTTAGTGGATAAGTGATGTAATTTATCCAACGAAACCAGGGAGCATCCGTAGCTCATTGTTATCTTATCAGAAAGCATGTGTCGAATGCTGAATAATTTTGGATGATTTTTGCTCTTTTCGACCCGGACAAACTTCAACCGAAATGAGTGCAGACTTACGACACATTCTGCAGTCTGCCGAAGAATTGGATGACATCAAATCGGTCGTTGTCGATGGTGAATTTACTATTTCCAGTTTGGATTGTTGTGTGTTTGTTTACGTGTTTGCCGCGTTTTTGATTAAATAATTTTGACCGCCTGCATTTTTGTGTCTTATTATTAAGAACTGTTAGATTCTAGTTTCATCTGGGTTTATGATAATATGGGAACTTGATGCCGTGTTGGTCAGTAGAAACAGCGAGGATAGGCGGACCAGTTTGACCAAGATCACTGCTCTATCTTGCGATTATCTTTTATTCAGTTTTACTGGACTAAATATTCTAAATGTTCTATTATCGAATGCAATCAATTTATCTAAAAAGTCAGCTCTATATTATGTAAATATATGTAAATAAAAATATTATTTGGACTTTTGGTAGTGGTAAACTTTGAACATAGAAATTTATGCACGAAATAGGTAGAGAAGTTCTCTCATACCAAAAGCACTTTCGATAATTGGCCCTTGTCTTATCTGACTCACAGAAGAAGGGTCATGCTCACCTGATTAAAAATGGGCCATGGGAGGTTGATACACGGGCACTTTTGGGTCAAAGTCTGTGCATTTGTCCAGTGGGTAGATAAAGGTTGTTTGATATGTCCCATCTAATTGAAGGTTTGAATTCCTTGGCACCGTATAGAGTGTATGATACTAAACTGTATGAGCCGTTCCAATCTCACCACTGGCATCATCATCCTGCGCTTTCTTTTGCAGTGCGCTGATTTCTGATTCTGACTGGATAATCCCTTCTTTTCCTATTTTATTTTCAAGGCTTTTAGATGTTTTTTAAAATTTTCCAGATTATAACGTAGATAAATAGAACATGATCAGCTCAAGTATGGAGCAAGTATAAGGGTTCCCTGTTCAGATTTTTTGGTAGAAACGGTGGTTTTATTTTATATAATGCTGATAGTTTTGCTATGTCCCTAGTGTGTGTTGAGAGGGAATGTATTTATTTTTTATATAATGCTGATAGTTTTGCTATGTCCCTAGTGTGTGTTGAGAGAGAATGTATTTATTGGCATAACTGTGTAATGTGAGAGGGCCGATGGTGGAATATTGAGTACCCATCAACCCACAGTAGGATAAATTACACAGTAGGTGTAAAGGGTACACAATAACCAAATCTTGGTCAAAGAGAGAAAACCAATTTATGGGCCGAATGTTGTCCATCCTTGGCTCATCCTCACAAAACCAAGGGGTTGGGGCCAACGTCAACCCGTTTGATGTTACTGCCAGAAGTTGGAAGTCTTTCATTGGCCGAGATTTGCTTAGTGTATATGCACCTTAATATGGAGTACTCCAGCACCCTAACAGATTGAATGGCATGTAAATAAGTAAGAATGTATATAAGAGTTAGAGAGTGAATAGGTTTGGTCCTACAAACTGATAGCATTGGGGGTTGAAATGACCTAGCTGCTAGCAGCTATCAGAGCCCAACCTTGGTGGCTGGACAGATAAGACCAAGGTCTCACCCCCAGACTGCCAACACCTGTTGGGGGATTTTCAAGGCCTGCTGGTAATTTATTGTAAATTAACCTGGAATTACTGGTGGACTTCTAGAAGTAATAGGCTTGTTGAATTTTATATAAATCAGTGGTAGCCTATTGTTAGGTTGACCAACTTAAATTTGCCATTAAAAAAAAAAGTATGGTTTTATTTTGTCAATAGTAGCCAGAGCTCATTATACGCTTGATTGTTTGTGTGGGAATTGATCCCACGACTGCAGGGTCTATGAGCCAAGAATCTATCATGCTGACCACTTGCTACCATGTTGGGTGTCAAACCCTCAGGAATTACTTTTATTTCCGTTCTTTTTTAACTTCAGAAGCGTTTTACAATTTGATAGCACATCACTAAGTAATTTAAATCATTACAACATTGACAGCTTCATGGTGAAAAATTTTAGTCAGCAATCACAAGTGAAGTCTTTGGTCAAAAGAGCTACTTACATTTGCACTCGAAAATCAATATTCTAAAAAGTAAATCAATAAATAGTGGTATTTAATATTCCTGATAAACAATTAAAAAGGGTATATCTAATTGGCTTATCAAGAGCAGCATATATTTTCTAAAACCCAACCCTGCATTTCATAGAGAAATAGATTTGAACCTGGGACCTTTACATTACAGTGATGAGTGTTAACTTAACCTTTGCAGCCTCCAACACCCCTCCCCATATAAAATTTGTATATATGTAAATGATGGTTCTGCCATTTACTGTTTATTTTTTATACAGTAATTTTAGGTTTACTTTTATATACTCTGCTTGAACTTTTGTGATTCAGAAATAATTGAAAAATCTTAAGAATATTGAACAAAAGTTTTAATTTTCATTATCACTTTTAACTTTAAGTATGATTGATATAAGTATATGCATTATTATTACTACTCTTTTAAGAAACTTAAATTTGCCTCTTTTTTTTTCTTAAATTGTATGGCTTTATTTTGTTTTATTTCTGAGCAGATTTGTAACTGTTATTTTACTTGTTTTCCCAATTAATATTTTATTTTAGATGTTTCTTCTGGTAAATCGACAGTTCTCAGCCTTGTAGAATCACTTGAACCTTATTTGGTTAACAAGAATGAGTTGAAGAGGCTCAAAGGGACATCGTTTCTTTCCGATGTCCTGCAGGAAATATCGCAAGACCTGTTGAATGAAGATGAGGTTAAAGTCTTAACTGCGTTTTTCTGCGATCGTCTGAAGGACCATTTTACCGTAATCCCTGCTGCTTTAAAAGGACTTCAAGCAGTGGTTGGTATTAGTAAATTAAAAAAAAAAAAAAAAACTGATATAATTGTTGTAATTTTTTCAGACATCAATGAACAATCTATCGTCAACTGCCCCGGATGAGATATTGATAAGTTTATCTCAAAATATCACCTGTCAAACGCTACACCAATCTTCTAGGCTTACGTACTATAATATTTTGCAAAATTTATTTAACAATAAATACTTAGGTAGATTTTAAATGTTAGAAGATGAAATAGAAGATGATTAACAAATATGTTAATGTTTACAGAGGTAAAAAAGAATTCTGGTGATTTTGTGTATTCTGTTGTATCTGCGATGGATTCAGAAAGCGACCCGAGAAATTTAATGTTTCTTTTTAACTTTCTCCCCCAACTCTTCCATAGATTGGAATTTGAATATTTGTCTGAAGAAGCCTTTACTGTACTTGAGTGTTATTTCCCGGTCGACTTCAATGCTGTAGGTAAATCTTTCTAATTGTCTATTCACAGATACATAATTTTTTAATTAAAATCTTTTTTTATTGTGTTCTTTTAGAAAGAGAAAGGGGCCATTACAAGAAATGACCTAGCCCAAGGGCTGGAAAACTGTTTTGTCTCATGTGAAAACTTTGGCCGATTCGTAATCCCATTGGCACTAGAGAAGCTAGAAAGTTCGTTAAAAGTTGCACAAATGGACTCACTTAAACTTTTGGTAAGTTATTTGTAAATTTCTGAAATTAGATTAGATTTCTAGCAATGAAATTTCTATTTAAAAACCCCTATAAGACAATATTAAAAGTAAAAGCACTCCATTGAGTTTTTTAAACCAACAGTTTTCTTGTAGAAAAAAGTTCACTCTTTCCACGTCTAAATTTGCTACCTTGTACCATCTACACACTCAATTAACAAAGTTCATGACAACACAGCAATCTTTTACTTTGCTTCAGTAAGTTTATTTGAACAGAAAACGTTTTTATTTGACAAACAAAAACAAAATATTAGTTATATATTTTTTTTATTGAAATTTCATTTACCAGCGTTTCATTTTACCTAAAAGGATATTTTAAGCCGCCTGTTTCGCTATGTTATCATCCACGGTCGGTGAGTCTCCTCTTGAAGTTACATCACTCAAGTCTTCTGGCCAGGTATTCAGGGCGATCTGCCTTTCAAACTTTTTCACCTTGCTTTCTCGACTCGTCAGGTAAGCCCAGTATTCAGTGGCAAGTATCGGGAGAATATCGTCAATGCAGTAATACGTCAACGGCCTTTCCAAAGTCATGTCACTTTCCTTTGCTTCACTCTTGCTTTCTGCAGTCGGGTCCGGGGACATTTTCAGTGAAATCAATTTAGCTATGGTTGTCAGAGACTTAATTCAGAATTTCAGCTCACTTGTCACAAAATAGGAATAAAGTGTTTTACTGTTGTTAGAACTTCATCAGTACGGAAAAGTATACAATCAAAATTATACAGAAACGCTGCTAATTTTTTTGTTTGTTTTAGTAATAGACTTTATACCTCCTTTAAGAGAAAGAAGTTCTCTTATGGCTTAAATGTTTTTCACTTTTAATAGTTCATGTGTTCAAAATCTTGTTATCGATCAGATGGCAAATTGACTGAACTTTTATTTATTTTTATTGTTCAACGAACAAAGATAGAATTTTTTACTGGTACGAGTAGCGACATGTTATGGCTTTGGTAGAATGGCAGGGTTTCATGATTCTAACTTCCCTTGAAGATAATTATAGTAAATAGTTGGCAATGTAAAAATTCATTATAGATCCAACGATTGTACAATCACTTGTTTTAGACGTTTTTTGAGTAAACATGTCTCATCATAACAGAACATTTTTGCAAAGAAATAATTGGGATGATGAGTTAAATTGTTTAAAAGTGGAAGTTAAAACCAGTACTTAGAATTTTTATAAACAAAGAAATCTTTAGCCTTTTCGGGACTAGTGACGACATATCTAGTTCAGGCTATTGCTTGATAGTGAATTGAGACCTCCTACATCCTTCCTTTCCCATCCTTATTAATGAACCCTTCTGTTAGCAGTCTGGCATCTCTCTCAAACTTTTGCAAAATGACAAATGAAATTCCTTTTTCTGGGAAACCATTCGGCCACAATATCTACATCACATATCTTACTTTTATCTACCTCTTGCTCCTGCCCTTCTTAACACTCTATTCCTTCCCTACCATCCACCTTAATGCCTTTCTGATTTTTTGCCTCTTGTCTGCTAAATAGCCTCGGTTTTAGTTTCACATTGTTTATGTTCGCAATAATTTTCAAAATATATTTTTTCTTTTGCAGTCATTTTTTATACATTTTTTTAAAAAATAGTATACAGTCGACTTGATAATTTGAAACTTGATAACTCAAATTTGTTGATAATACAAACTCCTCACCAAGTCACTTTGGTAAATCGAAAAAATTGTACGTATCTGGTATCCTCCGTAATACAAAATATTTTTCTTAATAGGAGGAAAGAGAACATTCTTTAAATCGAAATGGGGCCACTTCCTTTTTTTATAATTCGAATGTTTTTCTCTAAATTTTCACATATAGTTTACTTCCTTGCAACGCAAAGTTTGTTTAAATTTTCTCTAGTGTGCTATGTTCGAAAGCTGATGTTTTGTCAATGTGTTCTCAGCACTCGTCAGTTTGTGAAAATCATTTAGACAAAGGACACCAGGCCACATTGATACAAAAACCACTTCATGATTTTTTTTTTCATAATTCATAACAATGTTCAATTTTATTAGGTTGTCCAGAAAATAATGCAGGTTTTCATGCTTTCTTTTCTTACCACTCTATGTAATAAACTATATACATTTGATGGGTTATTGTTTTGTATGAATGTCAACACTTTTTAATCTTCTTCCAAACAAAAGGTTTACCTCAGTTGCATTTCGTTACTTGGGAATAATTCAGTTTTCACTAAGATGTTAATGCTTGATATTCGTGTACTTTCGTTTTATGAGTTTAAACTTGGTCGGGATGGTGCCCAAATGGCCAGAAACAATAATGAAGTGATGACAGTGTGAATGAGACCACCGTTCAGAGATGGTTTAAAAAATTTCAAGAGGGTGACTTCAGCTTCAGAATTGGAACATGGAAGGATGTCTTCCCTACATGATGTTCTGCAAGCAGCTGTGAGGTCGAAGAAAATCTCAGAACAACTGTTCGATAACTTGTAGAAAATGTTTCAGTTGCTAACCATCTTAAGTCAATTGGAAAGGTGAAAAAGCTTGATAATTGGGTTCCTCATGCATTAAACGACCTCTAAAAAAAATCATCGTTATGAAGTTTGTGCAACTCTTCTTTGCCGAAACAGAAACAAACTTTTTCTGGATAGAATTATTACTTGTGGTGAAAAGTGGATTCTTTACAAAAATAGCAGACGTGGACAATGGCTCGACAAAGGAGAAGCAGCACCACATTTTCTAAAGTTGATACACCCAACTCATAAAAAAAGGTGATGGTGACTTTCATTTGATCTAATTTCCTTCTGCTTCTTGAATCGTGGCAAAATAATCAGGGCCAAAATGTATTACTCTCTACCTGAAGCAGTGCACCAAAAATTGGCATTACTGAAGCCATCTTTGGTCAATTGGAAAAGGCCATTGTTGTTAGATGATCGCTTAGCTCCAAATCTCACATGTGACAGCACAAACTGTTGGGTCTTGGTTATGAAGTTTTGCCTCACCCTCCCTATTCTCCAGACCTTTCGTCTACAGGCTACCATTTTTTCAGACACCTGGACAATATTTTACAATAAAAAAATTATTGATCAAGTCGTTAGAAAGTGCGTTTACAGAATTTATTAATAATAAAAATTCAGAACTCTATTCAGAGGGTATAGAGAAGTTGCTATCACGTTGGGATAAATGTATTGAGAGTGATGGAGCTTATTTTAATTAATAAAAAATGTTTAAAATCATTTATTCAATTGTTTTTATTTTATAACCATAAACCTGCATTATTTTCTGGACAACTTAATAGTTGATCTATTGCCACTTTTTCATTATTTTTACGATTTTTTATATTTGTAAAATTTAAGTAAGAACTTTTAAAAATACACATCAACCCTTATCATTAGATTTTATTTCTTTCCTCAAGCTATTTCAAACATGTTGATAATTCAGATTATTTTTGTGCTCTGTTGGGTTTCAAATTATCAAGAGTCGACTATATTTTTTTATTTTTTATAACTCTGAACTCGTGTGTACATGTGTGAATGTGTGCAGAGTTGAGCTAAATAAATCACTAATCAGGATTTACTTTGTTTTTTGGTTACTACAATTTAAAATGCATAATGAAAATTTTTTGGGTCAAATAAATTTTCAATTGAATACAACTTTATTTTTGTTTTTCTTTCTCCTTACATTTACGTACTTCTGTTGTAAAGTATAATATATGAATGTACTGTCCAATTTTGAACAGTAACAAAGTCAGTCCCAAAAATGTTTATAAAGAAATTAAATCTAGAACTATGATTAAGTGTAGAGGGCATCAACTTACTTTGTTTATTTTTGGCCTTACATGTTCATATATTAGAAATAAATTTAGTTATAAATATATTTATGTGGTAGAAAGATGACCTCTTCACTTAGTCATTATTTTCCCAAATCCACATCATCTTTCACCCTTATATGATCTAAATCCATTAATTACTTTTAATTTTTTTAAGCAAGACTTTTTTATTTCCATATATCAAAACAAAGTCAATCAAAAATTCTTGCAAAATAGGGTTTTTAAGAAATTTATATTTTATGTGTACCATATGTATTGCAGACCAAGACGTAACACTTTATTATAAAATAAATATATTTATTTTTAAAAGTAATATTAAACAAAAGTTGCCACAACGTGTTAAATGTTTAAAATGGAGTTGATGGGTTTTAGGCAAGAGGGTATGGAAGCTGGACCATTGAAGCTATCAATCCCCATGTCAAGGACTTATGGAATTCTTCCAAAAGTCTGATCCTTCCAATCTCAGACCCAGAATTGGCAGAGATGGCAGGCAGTGCGTTAGTTAAACTAATTCAAAAATATTCCACATCTCCACTTTCCACAAACCAGTCCGAGACGCTGAATCAATTGCTAAAAGATATATCAACAAGTATGACCAACAAATATATGAGGATATTTATGTATTTTATATACTTTGTTTTTTATTTTTTATTTACAGGTTCAACCAAATACTTAAATGATCCGACCTTAAGCATGTTTTTACCAGCGACTAAACTACTTTCCTCAGTTTCACAATCTTCGGCAGTTGCTTGCCGTCACATCACTAAAACTGTATAGCATTTAATTTAGAGTAGGCCTTAGGTTTTCTAAATCGAACAGTTTTATAATGTTTTGTTGTCACAGATTGTATCGCAGTTGCTGGTTCTTTTGAACTTTAAAACCAACACTGAAGTGATACTTGCTACTTTGTGCATCATACTGAATGCAACGATAAGATTCAATTTGTGGGCTGAAGGTGAATTTTTCTCTATGTATAGATGCAAGTTGGAACAATTTTACATTTGCTTTGTTTTTAGATGAAAATGAAGAAATACGAGAAACACTCTTGCAAGTTCCAAGTGTGCTAATAAGCAAACTGAATGACGCTCAATCACAGCATGGGTGTTTTTTGTGTCTAAATGAAATAGTGGTTGTGCTCACGTCAGAGATGAGACTGCAAATTGAAAACTTACTTCTCGATATTATACCACAACTCAGTTCAAACAACAGGTTGATTCAGAAATAAAAAAATATACACACATAAACTTATTATTTTAAACTTTTAACTAATTTTAAGGGATTCCTGTGCCACATTTATTAAGAACATTTCAAATCAATATCCAGATGAAGTGAGAGAAAATGTATTATCAAAACTAGCTATTAATGGTAAATCTTTACATTTCTGTAGTGCATTATGTTATAATGCTTGTAAAGGATTTTCTTAATTTAGATTTTATTTTCAGAAGTTAAACCATTAGTCAGAGAAAAAATCGACGTCCTTTGTTGGTGCACGAGTGTGCCTCTTCTGATGGAATACTCAATCCACGAAATAATTAAGTGCCTAGAAAACAAGTCGGTTTCATGTGTCGGGATTAAATCCTTGAGGTTGAGCAATTAAATACCTAAAAACGCTCATATTTTTATGTCATTTTAAATTAAAGATTTTCAGGGATTACTGTGAGAATATGGCAGAAGAAGTTGTTTTACATTGTTTAGGAACTGAGTGTGCACTTGTACAGAAGTTAATCACTCTGGCTAAGGACATCGATGAAAAACAGGTCGACATATTGAAAGATTTTTCCAAGACGATTGCAGCTATTGTGAGATGCCTTTTAGAGGAGTACGTTTTAATTTTAAATTATTTAAAAATTTAAAACATAACAATATTGGGTTTTTCCTTTTAGGGAACAACAAATGTTAATCTCAGAATGCATTATCCAACTGTCGGTTGAGTGCCTTTCTAACAATTACTTGGTATCACTTTTTTTATTGCTCATGAGCAAATAATAAAAAATTGAGAAACTATTAGTTTTTTTTTTCCAATTACAGGTCTTATTTGAAGGGATTTTGATTCCATTGAGACCAACGGTTAAAATTGACAACTGTCACATGTTCATAAACAAGCTTTTTGAAGGTTGTCTGACTTTTGATAATGAAACTGTGAAATCATCATCTTCAGTACTATTAAGGTCTATTATAAATAAACATCCAGATGGTAATATCAAATGATCAACTATCAAAAAAAATATTATTATTTTTTTAAATTTTTTGTACATTTTCTTAGGTGAAGACCTGGATAATACTTTGGGAATACTGTCTGTAAAATTAAACGAACATCTAAAAGACGAGTCAGCATTAAGCATGAGGCTGGCTGCCACTTCATTGCTTAGTTGTATTACTAAGAGTTTAGTTTTAAGGGGTCACCGGTTATCAAATCAGTGGCTAGATAAGGTGAAAAAATTAAATTGTTAAATAAACTAAATTTATAGTTTGGTTATTTCTTGTCCTGCTGAGTTTGCATATAAAAAACAAACCCACACCTGAAAAGTACAAATTTTTTTAAATATTTCATATTGTTTAAAATGCAAAGATTGCCGGGATGATCGTAAATGACCAAACTACAGGTTCAGCACGTTGCAGACCTTAGGAAATAACCTCACAAAACTAAATCTTACTTATTTTTAAAATTTTAGTTAATAGAATTACTATCTGATGAACCAGTACAACTAATGGCAGCCAATGGTTTTAAATATATTTTAACGCAGTCCGATGATCTTAGCGAAACAAATTACTGCACAATCAAGTAATTATCTTGTTTATACATATTTTTCCTGTCCATATTCTAATTTATTGAAATTTTTTTATGCAATAGGCTTTTACATAAGCAAAGGGTGTTTTGTAAGATGAACAAGCTTATTTCGTTATATGACAACTGTACAGATTCCAAAAAGTCTGCTGTCTCTTTGGCAATCGCTTTCATATTACAAGCTGTGCCAAGATGCTTGGTAGTTAGTGAATTAAAAGAGGTAAGACTTTTTTTTTCAAAAATATGTTTTTTTATTAGTAAATATTTAAATTATTAATTATCTGCTGAATTTCATTGAAGGATATTGTTCAAAATGTTCAATTTCTGGGGGGGGGGTGCAGTACTAGAGTATGTCACCATGTTAACTGCTTCTTTGACTTAATTTACTGTCTTTAGTTTCTGAGTAACCAAATGTGTAAATAACATACTGCTAGGGGAAAAATTTGATATGTTAACACATTTACTGAGGGGGGGGGGAGGCATAATGGTTGTTTTGTACCCACATGATTTGCCACAGTGGCAAATTCCATCTAGTGAAGCAACTAAAACATGGTGCCTGCCTGGCAACTGCGAGGTTATATGAACCCAGTGCCAATGTTTTCAAATGAAAAAAGCCTATTTGTATGCCGGGTTCGAGCACAGGACCGTTGGATTAGAACCCAGGACCTTGATGTAGCATTCAATGCTTAACCATTGAGGCCAGCGATGCCCCCCTTATAAAAGCTTTAATTTACTGATTAATGATTTACTGATGAAGCTCAACTCTGCAAACAAATGTACATACTTACAAACAGAAAATAGAGTCATTAAATTTCTTATTGCGTGGACTCTGGTAAGCAACAATAATCATCTACCTCAGGTTGTCAGACCTTGGTCTTACCTGTCCCACAGCTCCAGAGGCTGTGAACAGCTATCACACTAATAAATACATTCACTGACAATATGTTATATTATATAGAATAAAATTGCTGTTTCCTGCAAAACTAGGAACAGGGGACTCAGAATTGCTGCTGTGTTAGAGCACAAATTCTCATTCGAGTGGCAGTGTTACACATGCTCTATATGGAGCCAAAGAATGTTTCCCTTCAATTAAAAAACAAACAAAGTAAGTCCTGTCATAAAGGAGGGCTTAACTACCCATTGGGTTTGTGGACGAGGAGTCAAACCACTTTACAATCCTTTCTCCATATTACACACAATTAAAAATTCATAGCCTAGGCCAGGATTCGAACCCAGGACCTCGTGTGACAAATATGAATTCAACCCCTTACCCACTCGGCCACTGTAGTCCTGCAACACCCTTCAATTATTGGGCTAATGCAAAAATAATGTCGATTTTGAAAAGGGAGTCAAAACTATTTTAAATTTTTATAAAGTAAAGAAAATTTATTTGAAATGTTTTCCATCACAATCTATACATTTTTGCCAACATGTAATAAGTGCTTTTATTCCGCTGACATAAAAGTCTTATTTCTACTCACATTCCTTGCTTCCTTAAGTTTTCAGCTTCACCGCATTCTCTAAAAATTTTATCCCTCAAGAAGTGATTGAAATGCCTAAAAAAGTGGAAGTCTGTAAGCGAGAGGTCGGGTGAATATGGAGTAAGGTTTCCTATCCCAAGTCCTTAAGATTCCGCAGTGAAGAAGAATCGGCCTCTTACGGTGTACCAATGCTGGACAAAGACATTGCATTTTACCATGCATTTTGTCAATTACTTGGCAATATTTCTCTACTGTGATAGTTTCACCATAATTCAGGAATTATAGTGAACAACCCTTTCAGTACACCACTAAACCTTTTATGGGAGTGGATTTGGTTTCGGGAAGTATTTTGGCACTTCATCCTTGAACACCTTCTGACCTGTACACCTCCAGTTATTGTACAGAATCCATTTCTCATTGCATGTGATAGTGAGAACGAGAAATAGATCATTTTGGTGGCGCAACAGAAGAGACGTGCAAATTTCAAAGCATTGATTCCTTTGGGCTTCGATTAGTTCATACCCACTTGTTGAGCTTCTTTACTTTACCAATTTACTACAGATGGCGAGCTATGGTTGAGTGGTCAACACTAAGCTCTTTCGCAATTTTCTGTGTTGTCTTACATGAATTTTCTTCAATCAACGTTTTGAGTTGGTCAACGTCCACAACGGAAACCTATCGTGATCTTCCCAGTCTTCGAGATCGAAATATCCAAGACAAAATTTCTGAAACCATCGCCTCCCTGTGCATTCGCTAATGCCTCCCTCCCCCCATACTATACTGATATATGCAAGGTTTGGGCCGCACTTCGCCCAAGTTTAAATTCGTACAAATAAGAGAGACAAAAATCTAGTTTCAACAAAATTAATTTCACAGGTCCTCACGCTTGAAAATTCAATATAAACTAAAATGTAAAAAAAATAACAGTTTAAAGTATTTATTATAATCCATAAATTAGATTTGAGGATTTTGCTTTGTTTATGTGACAAGCACCTGCAAAAATAAAGCAAATTTTTAAAACCTGCATTAATTTTGCACTAACCTAATGTGGACATATCGAACAGCCTTTTTCAAAAGTTTCTGTGTGTTAGCATTGCTAGGCTTATACTTAACATATTCAGAGGCTCAGAGCAATCTGGTATTTCAATTTTCAACCCCCCAGATGGCAAATATTTCCTATTTCTAAAAATACTGACAAAAGACTAAAGCTCTACTGAAAAAAAGTATGTAGTGTTTTTCGCAGTAAAAGTTATGGATACACAGTAAGATGATGAAAACAAATAAAAAATTACAATGCTTCATGACCTCACGCAGGTTTGCCCTCTTGCAGATCATTAGCACTCATCATTGTATTATAATTGTCAAATTATAATAAACATTTTGTGATAATTTATTTCAATAATCATTATTATATTTTAGCTTGTGAAAGTGATAGTGACATGCTTAGATAGTAATGATCATAGAGTTGTCGCCGCGATATTGGAAGTCGTTTCCAATCTTTTGGAGTCCGGCGAAGAAGTGTTTGAAGAGCAAATACAAACTTTCATTCCAAGCTTTATAAACTGTTTGCAGTCGACGAGCATGGTATGTAAAACGACTCACTGTGCAATTTCTGCTCTCTCTGAACGCTTAATTAAACTCTACTTTTTTTACAGGCTGTTAAGATGTGGTCTTTGGAGTGTTTATATTATTATGGAAAATGCACGGAGATTAAAATCCTCCCCTACAGACTCATGGTACACAGTTCACATTTTTTAAAAATATTTTTCAATGAGTATGTAATACTAATTGATGATCCTTTAGGTTCTCAATGGTGTGCAACCTTGTTTGGATGATAAAAAAAGATTGGTTAGACAGAGAGCTGTAAAAGTCAGAACTAGATGGTTCCTGGTTGGTTCATTATCTGAAAAATGACTTTTAATTGATTAAAATGTAAATAAACTAAATTTAGTACTTACCAAAACAGTTTTATTACAGTTTTGTAGGTCCTTATTTTGTTACAAAAAAATATAATACCAAAATAAACAATGGATTAAATAAAAGCCATTGCTTGTTTTAAAAATGTGTTTTCACTTCAATTGGCATTTTAATCACTTATTTAAAAAGGAAATTAATTAATTTAAAATTCATCACTATTTATTTTTAATTTTCACACTCTTGATATCACATTTTTTCAAACAGTTTCAAATTGTGATATATTAAAATGTTCACAATTTTCCAATATATACATATTTTATTTACAAATTATTTATAAATGCTTTAAAATATTTTTCATTTGTAAAGATCCTAGTAATTTTCTTAAGTTTTAAGTGAAATTAAGTTATATTTTTGGCTTGTAAAAATGCACTATTTTCTTTTAAATTTTAACAAGGTTTAATAAGAATCGGGAAGTTTTAGATGTCATGACTAAATTCAGTATTTTTGTTTTGTTGTCAGTGTACAACTTTGTTTTTTAAATAAACCAACTAGCTTTTCTGAAAATATTTTCTTTTGGAAGATGATTAACGAAGACCTAACCTGTTGAAATATAAACAAGAAACCATACCTAACACAGATTTAACCCTATACAAAATGGTTGAGCTTCAAATTAACAACTTTTTAATATAGGTATATACCAAATTAATATTTACAAGGAACATGATCATGATCTATGAATATATATTCTATGAAGATGAAATGATTATCTTAAGCTCATTCATCAGGGAAATAATTTTACATTACCATTACCTACTTTTTTCTATGCAGATAATCTCACTTTTTTGGTGCGGAATACTAAAAGCAATTTTAATCAATTTAATTACATAATTGGAAGGCTTTTCCATAAAATAAATTCTTATAAGAAATTATGATTTAAAAGTAGTAGGTTATTGACAGGAAGATTTATTTTCAACTTTACTACAAAATCTCTAACATTTTAAGTGCCAAAGTAGGATATAAAATACATATGCACTTAATGGAAGAAAATTAAACTTTTTAAAAAATTTTTTAACAGGCCTTCATCAATTTGCGAATTTTTGACAGGGTTGATTGTATTAATCCTTATACACAATCCTTTAGACTGACATATGATTTATTGTTTAACATTGCACAATGTCAATTAAGACAACCCTTTGGGTTCAACTTTTATAAAAATAAGGTATCAAATAAATAGTTCATATATTTTTTTTAAATTATATCTTTTTTAGAAAAAGTTCAGTACATTTCGGCCATTATTAAAACGACGAGGGATGACCACCCGGTGAATGGGTGTGACCCGTGACCAGCACCCGTTTTTGGATTGTAGTGTTCCCAGATGTAACCGGTCTTCACGTACTGTTTGAAAATGTTTGTGATAAGATTATGCCTCAGCTCTTTGTAAAGGTCTTCCGCCTGTTGTCTGTAAGGGCCGTCAAGTTTTGAATAGTAATTGAGTGCTTCTAAGGTAAGATAATTGAGGTTGATCCAAATGTCACCCCTCCAATATGGAGGATCATGCTCTGTGTTGTATTTGTTGTACAAGGGAGATTTTTTCGAAAGTGAACGCAGACCGTAATCTGTCCAAAGGTATTGCGGGTTTCGAATGTCTGTCAGCATTTTCTGAAGCCTGTGAGAATTCGAGGGGAACGTATGGACAAAGAATGGAAACAGGCTTACATAGCCAAAAGTCGTATCGACAAGCCTCAATCTTGGGGCAGTTAAAGTGACTCTGGTTAATTCTTGTTGAACAGGCTTCGAAGGAGAGGGGAGTGGTGGTGGCTTTTTTAGAGTGACATCATCAGTGTGAAGCCCATAATCTGCATAGCGTCCGTATTCTTCGGACCAGTGTAAAGTGTCGAGAAGCTTGACATCAGAAAGGTACGAGTATGTATCCATGTATTTCTGACCTTCTCGATTCAATAATTTGGCTATTTCTGCCAAAGTGCTCGCACCCAACATAATCCAACAGCGCAGATCTAAATGCCTCTCATCGTCTGTAGGATGAGACGCTCTTGGATAATCATCAAGACCTGACGTTAATGTTTTAGGATTCAATTCTTTCGTTGTTTTACCATCCCGCCCTCTCCATCTATAGCTGCCGGACAAAGGTCCATTCTGGGTGGTATTGAACCAGTCAAACCAAGCGACCAGCCTAGGATACAGTCGTTCCAATGTTCCCAGTCTATCTTCTTCAGTCAATCTCTCGGCATAGTTTTGTATAATAAATCTAAGAGTTAAAAAAAAAGTAGGAGGGTTTGCATTTGTATTTGTCTGTGTAACAAATTCTTCTGGTACTTTGGCCAAAGCCTCTAGGCCTAAGATTTGCTCACGAGGTATCCAACCTTCAATGTTCATCAGATCAAACCAATGGCCGATGATATCCAATTCAAGATCTAAATCCCAAGCGGCCAAGAGAAGTCCATGAAAGCCTTCATCCCACAAAAATCCTCTCGGAAAAAAACTCCTAGAAGGCACTGCTGTAAAAAGTGGTGCTTTCCAATAAGGCACAGGTGTTTTTGTGTGATCAGACCTGACTCTCGATGCGCCATAAAAATAGCCGATTCCTCCAATTAAATTACTAAAAACTGCTTTAGCGAATGCTATATGATTGTCGCTAAAATTTTTACTCTTAAGTTTAAAAGTGTCTTCGAATTTTGTATCGAATTCATGTAATTTATTTTTTAGCGCTGTTTGAAATATGCCACCTGTTAGAGTGTTCGGCCTATCAATAAAACTGGCAGACTCAAAAACAACATCTAGTTCAAACGGAACGTTTACTTCAAGCTGGGTTGCTATAAAATTTGGTGCCACCCGTTCTCCAGCCTCTCCTTGCAAATGTGTAATATCCCCAGGTAAAACTAAGTGCTTTCTGCGAGACTCCTTGTCTGTTATTTGTCTTAAAGTGGATCTGACAGTTTCCTTGAGCAAATGAAGACCTCCAGATTCGACACTCAAATATGACTTTGTTACTATATTTCCAGTAACGTTATAATAACGGACGACAAAAGGACCGAGCTCCTGTGTCTCACCGACTACTCCTGTAATCGCTCCAGCGAATGAAGGGTTGATCTTGCCATTGGTTTGAGATTCGATCGCAGTATAAAAAATTAGGCTGACTGAACTCCCAGTTTCTGTGGACTCATCCTGAAACGTACCATATATTAATTAACCACAAAAGAATTTTTGTGAATTTAAACACAATTTGTATAAACTTTATCATAGGAAAAGTACAATATTAATAAGTAATTTAAAACTCACTAAAATCAAATATGTTAACAGGCTAGCAAGCAAAAACTTGATCTAACTGTTTTTACTACCAATTTTAAGTTCAAAGATGTTTATGTCTACATAAAAACCTGATTAGAGACTTACCACTGATTTAACACTGATTCTTGTAGTCCAATCGCCGCCTTGTGTACCGCCGGGTCGTTTTACAAAAGATGTAGTTATTTGGAAATCTCCATCGTTTATTTGTTGAACGCCAAACGTTTTACCGTCGTGCTTAGTCCATGTATAATAATTCAAATGATCATCTTGTTCACACCAGTGGCTAAAAATTAAACACATTTTAATATAACGATATAATCATTAAAAGTAAATTAAACTAGCTAGTTAAAATTAAGCTATTCAAATGAAATATAACACACATGTAGATAAGCTATTCTGCCTTAAGGCCAATGATGATTGTTTATGTACAAAGAGAAATCATGTTGAACTGGCACTGAGTTACTTATTGTCTTCACTGAAGATGGCGCAATATTGAAATGCATTTGAGTAATTCAACAAGCCTATGAGTAAAGACAGACCTAATAAGTAATCCTATGATAGTTCAACATGACTCACAGATTCGCCAACTTACACCGAGATCAACATTAAAAATAAATCAGTCATATTTATGTGCATGAATGGTTTGGGTGTCCGACTCGTATTTGGCTCACTACTAGTTCTGGGTTCAAATCCCTACACAGGAATTCCACAGCTTTTTAATTGATAATAGTATGAATTATGTACTCTAAAGGTAAAGGTGTATGGTTTGACCCCTCGTTCATGACACCCAACCAAATTACATGTTAAGACCTCCTGTTTGACAGGAATTACATTAAACTTTTTTTACTTTTATGTGCATGAAGTTGTACATTGAGCAACAAATGTAAGCAATGTATATATTTTAATTGGTCCTAATTGATTAATAATTTTGATGTAAAATATGGTTGAGATGAAAAATTAGTGTCACGAACAGGACTCAAGCCACGACATTCGGATCTATACACCAGGGTCTCATCATGACACTGATTTGAGAGGAAGCAATTTATTTTAAGAAGAAATTAATTGGGACAGACAAAAATCTTGGAATTAGAGGATAAAAAATGACACTCTTTTTTTTTTCAAAAATATCGGCACCCCGAGGGATCATATAACCACGCAGACTTTTTTAAGAATGTCTCAATAAAAATTAGAAGAACTAATACATTTAGAAATATATTTCACACCAAAATGTTTTGGCAATTGTTCTTCTTTTTTTACATCATTAGAAATAGTAAAGACCAGCAATTTCTATTTTTTGACAATAAAACCCAAATCATTTTCTCTTGCATTTTTTTTTGCCTTGTTTATCACACCTGGCCATAGTTCTATGATATTGTAGATCCTGCTGACCGAATCCGCCACCGAGGGGATGCTCAGAATGCTCCCTTTTATTCATTTCGATTTTGCCTTTGATACCTTTGATCAAAGGGAACTGTGCCCTTTCTTGCAGGTGCATTGGGAGGATGTGGATAAAAACCACTTATATCGCTTAATAGCACAGCATCTACTTCGTCCCTGCAGACTGGGGTCCAATTTATCCTGAGCTCTCCTCCCTGACAACTGCACAGCCAGCAGAACCCCTGATGCTTCATTTAACGGTTAGAGTCAATTCTATATTATGTCGTCCGAGATTTCGTAGAAAAAAAAATCTATCAATACTAGCAATGAAGACACCAACAGACGAAACAAAACAATTTAATCACCTCCCTCTGTTCAAAGATTCGGTTTAAAAGGCCAACTCTGGTTGTTTCGTATTCAGTTCAGAAAAATACTATATGTTTCATGGTTTCAGGTTCGTCACACGTAGGACAATTTGGAGATGGTCTAAGGCCAACTTTGTGCAAATGGGAACCACAGATGCCATGTGTGCCATTGTTTATTCAGTTCGTGAGTTTATTCAGTGTGTGAGGACAAAATAGAGACATCATGTGATTAGGAGTCGAAAGATAATGTTTTGAGATTTTCTGTGATTTATTTGATTTAAAGTGACCTTTTGTCGAGTAAACACAAATGTTTACTCAAAAATATTGATTTTAAACTCTAATACAATCTTAGTTAATTCTTATTGAAAGGAAAAATTCATTCTATTTTGCTCGACGAATAGAATCTCGGTGACAGACTGTTTACCAACTATGGCCAGTGTTTGATGATGCGGTTTGAAAAGCACAATTTTTGTTTTTAAAATTTTCATGATGGAGATGAAACCCTCAAGGAAGGGCCTGTTAGAGAAGACTGATAAGCAGATTTACATGAGTAGGATCCAACCAAACCTGTGTACTAACTCAATATCTCTAAATTGAAAAGTAACGATAAATTAAAGTTTAGCTAAATGCTAAGAGAGAAAATTTTATAAAATTGAAAATCATTGAAAATGTCTAAGGCTCTTTCAGACAAGGCAGTTATTAACTAGTTGAATGGATAGGTGTCAAGGAGTGTAGCCCTGATTGGAACCCTTTCAAAAGACGTCAATTCATCTGTCCAGGCACTAGTGCAACTCATGTTCTCATCCCGACTGGTTGATTCAGCATTTGTCTAATTGAGTTAATTGCTCACCCTATGAAGCATGCAATTCCAAGTTTCAAGAACAATAGAATAAATTTGTATTAGGCCCATGATATGGCACATAAAATGTGAGGAGTATTGCTTGGAGGGAAGTTGATGTGAGTGTACCCATTTCCAGATTTTGTAACAACAGGGAACCCACACTTTTCTTCGAATGGGTTTCCTCCTTTTTTCATGTATTCCTGTTTCATCGTGTTCTAACATCACACTACGAAAGAGATATGGATAAAAGAGGTGGCCACAAGTCCTTTTGCACCTTGACCTGAGGTCTATTGTGCTCCTCTGTTTTTTTATAACTCACTGGCCAGCTTCAGGTTGTTAATCAACCTTCATAGCCTTGCCAGCTGCTACCTGTTGGATCTTGCTTGTGGCTTTTCCTCTCCTGCAAGAATCTGCACCTAAAAAGACTTTCACATAAGACCTTCACTGTTTTTTCTGTCTGCACTCCTAACTGGTGCAAGCACCTTCTTAGGTGGTAGTGTCCTGTCAGGAGAGTCATTGATTTGCACAAGTTGCCTGGTGTGAAACAAGACAAAAAAACGCCTTCACACATCAGGCAACTTAGTTGAATCAATCAAAACGCCTTGGCTGAAATACATACAAGCTGTTATGTGCTAGTTGACAAAAAATTCTTCTTAGAGGACTCCTCCCAAAAGAAGACGAAAGTAAGGACCCATGACTGTTCTTTAGCAAGAGGTTGTGTTGTTCTACATTCTGGAGAGCGTGGGATTTTAAAAATATGCATACCGTATGTTGTTAGAGTTCGCGGACATTTTTCTTGGGAAGTACCACATGAGCCCCATGACAGGAGAAAATGGTTCTCTCGTCTTGAGGCCAAAGTAGTTGCCTGGCCTGTATGTACCCCAGTATCTTCCAGGGATTGCCAGACCGCTCTTCACCACAACCTGAAAATTGAAACAGTAAAGAGGCGAACCACATTCGAAATCTCTGTTTACCTTTGGGCTGTCGAACGGGGTGTTGACTCTAGTTTCCAGGTAGCCTTTGTATCCGATGCAGCAGGCTATGCCCAGGCATAAGAATGTGAGGATCGAGTTGATGGAGAGGTACCTGGATCTTGGTTCTTCCGTCTGTTTGGCATTATCCGCCTTGTGACTTCTGTGTGACCTGTCGTGGTGAGGGCCTTTTTTCGGCCTCGAGTTGGACATCCTGTCCTTTGTGATTTTCCGATCCAATAACGTACACGTAAACCGATTACGGTGTATTTTGAACAACCGGCATGTTTGGATAAAAGTTGAAACCGTCAAGCTTGCCCAGTTGTTACATGCTGTCTCGTCACCCCCCCACTATTCTCCAATCTTACGCCCTTATGCTACAGAGTACAGTATTGAACACTAAAATTCACAGCCATAATTTATTGCTATAAAGAAAAAGTCAAAAAGTGTATATAACATATCTGAAATAGAAGGATAAAACTGAGAAATTCTTCTCAAGATAGTAAAGAACTTAACATCAAAACTTCTAGTTCCTATGAAATATTGCAATTTTACTTCTTAAATAAAATACTATTAACTGTTAATTAATATTATCTGAACAGACTTCACATAATTATATCTAGGTATTTGATAATGCCGAGAGATTTTCAAATTTTTGATTCTTCTCTTCAGGTATTTTAAATCGATTACAAGGAGTGAGATCAGGTATAAAAGGTCCAAATTTTATCCCTGGGACACAGCTCGCTCTTTAAAGTTGAGGTCCAAGCAATTGAATTCTGTGCACAGGAGATTTGTAGATCTTAAAAGGCAACAGTTATGCACAATTTTAAATTGGTAGCAGCATTTAGTCTGAGAGGTGCATGACACATCTAGAAATAAAAAAAACAATGGCCCTATGCAGTTGCCAGGATATGGAGAGATTAAAGAAAAAGAAATTATAGTCAACAAATTTGCAAAAAAAGAACTAAATTCCAAGTACAGTTCAGAGTAAGTTGAAAGTGGAATATTTGATGACAATGAGTACAAGGAAATGGGGTTTGTTGTTCAACAAGCACTGCAATCTTCTGGTTTACTGTACTTTCCTTGTTCCATCTGTCAGAGGTCATTCATTTACAAATATATATATANACAAATTAGTTTTAGAGGAGAGAGAGAGAGAGAGAGAGAGAAAGAGAGAGAGAGAGAGAGAGAGAGAGAGAGAGAGAAGAAGAAGAAGAAGAAAAGAAAAAATATGCAAAAAATACAACAAAAATAAACAAGTGTACAAGTTTTAAAAATAAGGACTATATCCAACATTTTGATAGCTTAATAACAATGAAAGAATAACACTTAAAAATTAAATTCTTAAATTAATTCATGTCTGTAGCTCCAAGCATGTTTAGCATACCAAATCAAGCACCGAGAAATTGAGCCATTCTAGAATCGCAATAGCTTACTTCTTGGGAGAATAAACCAACCAAAGTGTAAGAGCTAAATCTCATCCAACATCAACTACTCTGCCAAAAAGTGAAACAGTCTTGATGGAACGAGAATTGTATAGGGAGCATATACCAAAGCTACTCCTATTCCACAGTCCATGCAGCTGAATTTACATGTAAAACCTCCCATCTCAGCTTAAAAGCTCATCTAGTTCATGCAAGGAAAGACTCAAAATTAGGCTTGACTTACAAATAATATTTTTTAGACTGTTAGAAATCCAGATTATTCGTATTTTATCAAAGTCTATTCACAATCTGCAAAACAATTTTTTTTTTTTTTTTTAATGGCACCACACTTTATCTAGCGGACCCTTTGCCCATAGTTGGTCTATACAGTACAATATTCATATAAAACAATATTTTCTTAAAAGATATATTCACACAGCTCTGCTTAGGTGAAATATAATATTGAATATACAAGAAGAGGGCGACTTGGTTAATTACCTCGGCAGTTACTTCAGTGTTCAAACATGGGCGGGCTCCCGGTCTGCGAGGAGGCGGTGCCGCTGTCATTCTCCAGGCAGTCGAACAAGACCGCTGCCCGCTTTCAGCAGAAGATAGCGCATCTCCTTGGCGATAGCCGTGCTTTCGCCCATTGGCCGAAGTATGAACCAGCCGACACCGTGAAAAGCTCGGTTCCGTTTAATTAAGTGATTAGCCCGTTTTGGCCGTTTTTTAACCGAGATGGGCCTCTCATCTAGCAATCAATGTGAGTACTTATCAATTTATGTATTTGCCTGATTTTTTAAAAATATATTTCAAACAATGTAAACAACCGACCAGCTTATCAACAACTGAACTGTCTTCTTAGAGATAATATTATCTTAAGGTGCTTAGATTTAACTCTTATAAACACCTTGGTACCCATACATTTTTAATTGTCTGTAACTTATAAATCTCTGGGCCAAAGGAGAAAGGCCTGGGTGGAGAATTTGCCATGCATAATAAAATAAATGTACATGTTTTAATTATTTACAAGCAGTTTCAGCTGAGGGGAGAGTATTATAGAGATACACATGCTATTGTATTTATTATTATTTTTTAAATTGAAATATTTGATGTTTACATGGAACCACTTGTACAAGCAGTATTCAAAACAAACCAAATTTTGCCAGTTATTTGATCCTTTGTGATAATTAAATATGTACTATATTTTTTTAAACCATTACTAAAACATAAGAAGAATCTACATTGAAGAAATACACACATAACACTTAGTAAATATTATTCTTGATATATTTTTTAAAATGTTATTGCATACAAGTAGCAAACTAGCAATCAAAAAAATAAATGACCTCACTTAGGACATTATTTTATAGCATTTTGGCACAATAAATTTTATTAGCTGTCATGTTTAAAAAAATAAAAATTTATTTTATCGTTTACATCATTAATGAACCTCTAGGAACTGTGGGCTATATACCATAAAATAAACATGCAAATTTATTTCATTTTTACAATAATTATCAGCTAATATAAAGATAAGTCTTAGGCGAAAATTTAATATCAAAGGGGTCTGCGTTTCATGCATTATAAAATGTTAAAGGCTTATCAGTTGGCGGCTTGTTGGTCTTTGTTTTATAAAACTACAATTTATTTATTTTATTAAGGAGGTTATTCTTTGAAAAAGCCCTCTTTTGAAAAGAAAGCCTATTTGTAAGTATGTCGGGTTTGAATGCAGGGCCGCTGGATTCATATCTGGGACCTTTACCTTATGGTGGTGAGTACCGTGTCAATGCCTAAACCGTTGCAGCACCGACGCCCCCTAACATTCTCTAGATTAAAATATTTGCATACAATAATGCCTTCTATTGGACAAATATATTTCATACATGTAGCAGTCAAAAAATTAATAATGACCTCACTTAGGTGTGTAGTTGTATAGTCTTTATGCATATTAAATTTTATTAGATGTCATGGAAAAAAAAAAGAAAAAGTATATATTGTCTCATTCCAATCATTAATTCTAAATTCCTAGAGGAACTATGGGCTAGGTACCATAAAATAACATGTAAAATCAACTTCTTTTTTACTATAATTATCAGCTTATCATAAAGACAAGTATTAAGCGAAAATTTAATATCAATGGGGTCTGCGTTTCATACATTGTCAAATATTCTTCTTGGTCTTTGTTTTAATAAAACTGTAATTTTTTCTCTAGATTTAAAATATTTACATGTAGCAAACTAGCAATCAAAAAATAAATACAATGATTTCACTTAGGTGTGCAGTTTTTGTCTTTATGCATTACAAATTCACTTTATTTACAATAATTATCAGCTATCATAAAGATAAGTCCTAATCCAAAATTTAATATCAAAATGGTCTGTGTCTCGGGATTTTTCCTAAAAGTGTCTCAATAAAAAAATATTGGGGGAACTGAAGTTACACTGTGTTTTTTAAATTGTGTAAAATGTGTTTGATTAGATGTCATGTGAAAATAAGCCTTTAGTATTAATGATGTCTGTCAAGTGAACCAAAAATTTATTACTTAGCCAGATTCTTGGTGTATATTTTAACTTAAATTATCATATGTTTTCTGTTTATTATTATTATTATTTTATGAAGAAACACAAATGAGGAATCATGTTTTAGTTTTAGACTAGATTTTCCTAAGTTTATTCAATTTTTATTTATTGCCTATAGTGTCATTTTCAAGTTCCTCTAATTTTAATAGCAAAGTGATGAGTTGGGTATTATCAACATTAATATTTTCATGTTGCTTCAATTTTCATAGTATTTTATTTTTATTTTTATTTTTATTTTTTTTTAATGAGGGTATTTCAACTTGAGGCTATATGAACCATCAAGGTGTTTTTGAAACAACAGTCCATTTGTATGTCAGGTTCAAAGGTAGGCTTGTTGAATACAAACATTGGATCTTTACCTTGCAGTGAAGAGCTTTGTGTCAACACCTAAAACGTTCCGGCCCCATTTTAAATAGTATAACATGTTCATTATAATTTAATAATAAGAAATAAATAATTCACATTCTTTAATAATATGACAATAATTATATTAGTTAGTGTGTAAAAATGTCTTTAATCAAATTTTATTAACAAAGCGGTCTCATAGATTATCAGTATTAATAAATGACATCACTTTATCAGATCGACAGATTCCTTGGGCCTATTTTAATAATAATACTATCAATTTTAGTTTATTATTTATATGTATCAAATAATTATATCTACTCAAAGACAAAAAACCAGACAATCGTATTTTGTTGTTTATTTCAAACTATGCATATTTTTATTGTTATATGAATTAATTCTGCATTAGTTAATGCTTTCAGTCTGCATTAATCAAAGAAACAAATGTCATACAAGTTGGTTAAAAAAAAAAAAAATGGACATAAGTAAATACATTTGTTCTATTTTAGTATATGAGTTATTTGAGATTGCAAATAAGCAGGAATTATTGAAACATTGATGTAATTTTTTGAAATGTCTAAAAAGGCACTTTTGTATTTAAAAGAAACTGATTTCCTTCTGCTGACTGAATAATTTATGCATAGTCATTCCTCCAGTCTTACTCCTCGAATATGCACTTGTCTCTTTGGTCAAAATTCAACTTATCCCCTTTTGCCCCACTTTTTTTGGGTGCAGAATTATCACTAAAAAGACAATTAAATGTTCTTTAATTTTTTTGACGGGGAAATTTTTTTTACATGAACAAATGATTACAATATTTACGTTTGATTTTGATAATTAACTAATTATTTTTAAAGTAAATGGTGAAATGAATTTTTCCACTTAGGTGTTGATGAATAGTTCAAGTAATAAATAATTTTTCATATTAAAAAGGAATTCAAGGTTTTTAATGATGGAGTAAGTTATGGTTCTACTTACAAATTCCAAATATCCTCTACTTTAGAAAACAAATATTTGCCC